CATTCAAAGCCTACAAAACGTGACTTATGAACCGCTCCCAAGAAAATACTTTACATGAGCTTGGAATTCAAAGGGGAATTAGCTTCTGATATCATGAAACGAAGGATATCGCAGTCCCTGAAAAGAAACATTCCTTGCTGCCTCTCTGAGGATAGCCTTTACTAGCCGACGATTATTGTTCAGTAACCTGAAGGACAAGATCCCAATGTTGACCAACTTTATATGTGTTTATCAATTCACCTGCTCGTGTGGAGCTAGGTATATCCGTTATTCGACTAGAGTTTTGTCCAACAGGGTGCAAGAATACTATCCTGTATGGTAGTTACGAAGAGGTGGAAGTGGAGCAATAAGAAGCACGATCATTGAACATCTGGTCGATAATGATCACCCTATCTCTATAGCCTCCGCCTTTAAAGTCATCTACAAGGCAAACAGCAATCTACCCAAATCCCTACGTACCCGATTCATCTGTAATACTGAAGCTTTGGCTATCGAAACAGAAAAGCCGGAGCTCTGTTTACAGAAAAAGTTCGTTCAACCCCTCCAACTTTCATTGTCTTAATACCTCTATGCTAAAGTATGATAATACTTAATCATATTTTGGCTCTACCAATTTTTCGTTTTTTTTTCATTTTGTTTATTCAATTTGTATTCTCTTCCTTTATTACGTCAATTGTTACTATTATTATTCCCACTATGAACTGCCCCCGGTATTATTTGACTTTTTCCACTTGTCATTCGAAATCATTTCTTCTTTTTTGAAAGCGTTAAATTCTTTGCTATCAAATTTCACACATTATTACGTAACGTTTTTTTTCGATTTGTCTGCTAATCGTATAATTGCACACCATTTTTCATGTTCTCTCTATTGAAAACTTTATCATCCTATTTAATCATATCCATCCAAATATTCGAGTGACCTCCGAACTAGAATCCAATAACAAACTCGGTTTCCTGGATATCACTATTACTATGACTAGGAGAAATGATGGAACGATTCAGCGCTCTATTTTTCGTAAACAGACGTGGAGTGGACAATATCTTCATTTTACCAGTTTTGTTCCTATCCAGTATAAACGTTCCCTAGTGAAATGTTTGTTCTCAAGGGCTCGAAAAATATGTACGAGTGACACATTGATGGATGAGCTTCGACATATACATTCAGTTTTACTAGCCGATGGTTATCCAGAAAACTTCATCAATTGTCACGGTAAGGATAGACCACATCTTGAAAAGACAGCTTCTGTACCAAAGAAAGCCATCTTCATCAATCTACCATTCAAGGGCGACCAGATTATGCAGTTGACAGCTCAAAGACTTCGGTCAACCATCAAACGTACATTCTACGCCGCCACATCTCTTTTTCTCACTTGCCGAACATTTTCGATCCCTGTACCTACGATTAAAGGACGAAATTCTGTGGACTCTACTTCAAACTGTATCTACAAGTTCACCTGCAGCTGCGGTGACACCTATATAGGTAGAACTAACAGAATGTTCCAATGTCGTCGAAAAGAACATGTTCCAAAATGGCTAGTAAATCATATTGAAAATCCTAACGCGATTAATCTTAGTAGAAATCCAGCATCATCCATTGCAAAACACTTATTAATGTCTGGTCACAAAATCAATATTAATGACTGTTTCACAATTATTTCACCACTTAACTCTAATTCAAGGTTGGCTATTGAAGGTGATGGAAGCACTTTGGATTAATCACATACAGCCTAAACTGTGTATACAAAAATCAATAGACTTCAATCTTCGCCTACCCTGGACTACATGACCTATCTTAATATGATTGGTCATTAGTATGTACTTTTGTTTTTATTTAACTGAGTAATTTTCATGAACTTTATTTTATCATTGTTAACCATGTTAGTTGTAAAGCGGTTGTAAAGAAACTACGAAATGACGGTATTATCTCGCGAAATTTGTCTTCTCAATGCCTTATTCAATTCTTTTTTACAACGATAAATTCTATGCTATTAAATTTCACATAATATTACGTAACGTTTTTGTTCTATACAATTTGTCTACTAATCCTGTAATTGCACACCCTTTTTGAAGTTCTATCCAACCTATGAATTATTCTATATATGACATTAATTTGCTTTGCCACTTGACATTTAACTATGATCATAATCACAAACATTTTAGTTTTAATTGCATTCCATACTATTATTTATTATTATATCCTTTAATTCCTAGAGGAATATATGGCTTCAGCTGTGCACCTCCATTACCTTCTGTTTTCTGCCAACTTTTTCACCCCTCTCCAAGTCTGTCCACATGCTTTCATCTCCTCTTCGCATGACCTCATCTAAGTCACCCTTGCACTGACGACAAACTTGCCGCTTCCCTTTCGGGTTCCACTCGAGCAATGGCTTGTCTAATGATGTCACTCGATGGTTTCCTCAGAGTATGGCCAACCAATCCATCTCCATTTCTTCCTGCCTATTTGTTCCATAATTGGTTCCTGGTTGGTTCGCTCTCAGAGGTCCCTCCCTGTTGCTGATATTTTTTAACCGGCCATCTCTTCTTTAGTATTGAGCGAAGACAACTGTTGATGAAGGTCTGAAGTTCGTTTGAGATTCTCTTTGTGACTCGTCAAGTCTCTGATCCGTATAGAAGCACTGACTTTACATTGGAGTTGAAAATCCGGATCTTATTATTATTATTTTATGCATTCACACCTGAGATTCAATTCCCTCACCGGATATAACTTCTTAAGAACCATTTTTATATATATATATATATACGACTGTACAGCTTGTTGATAAATTCGTTGAAAAGAGTCTCTTCGCTGAATCACTTGTTTTGATTTTCTACATGTTACAATGGGAATTTTTCATGAGATGAATTTGTGACGTAGATTTGATTGTAATTTTATGCTCTGTTCGTTCATGATTTTGATGATGGTAATGGTGATGATGACGATTCGTAGTGATGCGATTCAATTGGAGCATGATCTGCATCTTCTGAAGGCAGCATGCTGCTGCATAACTTGATATTTTTTGGCAATTCAAATCACCTGCATGAATGATGAATGCAGGCTCAGTAATTTTTTAGAACAGCCTTCAGAAAAGTTATGAAATACTTCTTAGAGGATCAAATTCGAAAACTAAGCATTTACTATACCAACCGAGAGGAAGACAGCCGAAACTATGTTTTATACAGTGTTTGTCAAACACAGATCAGCGAACTTACGAATCATCGTTTTAGGTAGATGTGAGGATACGCCTCATCATTAACCAATCCACTCAACTTTCAGCCAGTCTTGTGGTTCAGGATACTGTTATGTACTCGTCGCAAAATAATTGTTATGGACTGGTCGAGAAACTAATAGTCCTGACGCGAGAAGGCGGAAATCAGAAGACCACTAGGTTTGCGATGATACTTCTATTGTCCAAACAAAAGGAGACGAAAATGAAATGGTCTCACACCAAAGTGGTAAGTAAGTAAAGTAGTTGTAAAGTAAAGTCACAAGATTGTGAATGCGACTATATATGAATGTTCCAGACAAAGCGTGGGAACAAATCATTAGACAGTCTTAACATGAATGGCTAATTATAATGGAGTGTCGATCCAAGTATACATAGCGAATATAGCAGACATGTCAACAACCAAACATATAATATGGATATATGTCACTAAGCAACGGACTGTCAACAAACACTCATATTATATATAATATAATATAAGGAGAATACACATTAATAAAGGAGACAAGTTCACACAAATGAAATGGTCACAGACTAAGCGAGCAAACAGAAAGAGAGACCAACATGCACACACACACAAATATATATATATGTGGATACATATCAGATACCAATCCCTGTTAAGCCAAATTCTACCTCAGGAAAATGAGTAGTTTCATCAACACACACACATTTTATTATAAGTGAAGTTATTCTCTTGCGTATCGAGTGGAACATAGAGCTGGCTTCAGCAGCACACCTCCACTTTCTTCTATTCTATGCCATCCTCTTCAGCTGTCTAGCTCCACGATTTCCCACTATCCCTCATCTCTTACACCACCGCACTGACAACACACTCATTGCTTCTTATTTGGATCCCACCAGAACGAAGACCTGCATTGCAAGAGATGTCACTCGGCGACTTCCTCAAAGTGTACCCGATTCATCTCCATTTTTTCCTACATATTTGTTGAGCGATAGGATTTTGCTTCTTGGTTTGTTCCAAGCCGGAGTTACTTGTTACTGGTTCCTTCTGGCTGGCTGGCTGGTCATTTGACCTTCAGCATGGAGCCAGCCAGCGAAGTTGGCAGCTGTTTATAAAGTCTCCAGTGGCCCGTTGGAAATCCTTTTCGTTACTCGCTTGCCATGTTTCTGACACGTGTTGAAGAATCGACTTGACATTGGTGTTTAAAATGCGAATCTTGTTCCTTAAATACTCTTCATTTTTTAAAAGTTATGCCTTACACAATCCATGTATTTAAACCATTTCTACCTTTTAAATGTGTGTATCAATACTGATAAGTACCAATTAAAACTGTGAATGAACACAACTGAAGCTTTTTATGTGTGTGGTAAGCGATAAAGGCTCCCCAGAAGTTTGTTTATTATATATATCATTAGTTCGGCAGTAGAATGCTTGCCAGCGATTCATGTGGTCCGGAGTTTCTTCACGCGACCCACTCACTCCTAAACCTCCCCTAACCAATAGGGTATGCAGAAAAGGCGGGAAGATTTGGATTGATGGTGGCAATCCCATCCCTGTAAACAATATCGACGCCACCACTGCTGAAACTGTTCCAATCAGAGCTCATAGAAATTCAGAATGGGAAAATGGTGACAGTTGGGGTGGAGGGGGGGGCGGATTTACTTCACTTTGGCGATGTACATGTTTATTTATACGATTGAAAATATTTGGCAAAAAATTTACAAAATACAGAAAAGAAAGGGGGGAAATTATGTCTGCAAAGAAGAATATGAAAAGAGAAGTAGTGAAACAGTTTTGTCTCAAATGTGCGCTTAAATCACAACTGGTACACTTGTTTTATTCATGCCTAATCTGTTTGTTATATTTGTCCCAAGAGTCATACTTTTATTACTATTGCTACCGTTATTATTATTATTACTATTATTATCAGTACTTTGGAGTAATATGTTTCTGTTAACATTTATAAATTGAGGTGATATAAATCTTCGTGTATCACAGCTGATTAACTGAGGATAATTTACAGCGCATCTCTGATTGGTGTTACCAATGCCAGGGATTAGTGAGGCGTTAATTTGATTGGTTAATTTGTTTGAATTATAATTCGTATTGTTATTATTATTCTGATTATTATTATTATTAGTGTTATTCTCTGAAAAATACTGAATGAAATTAGATGTTTGATTGTTTGGTGTTGCTTTCGGGGCATATTTCATAAGAAGTTCACGTCGTTTCCGTTGAGAATAACAGCATATCAGAAAAGTGCATATCAGTGTGATGAGTAGGATTGCTGTGCATACAAACGGGACTAATAAACGTGAACCTGAATAAAAAGGAAAGAAAGAACAACAAAGGCTATTGATGATGAAACCGTGTGAGATAATCTTGGATTATGAGACTTCCTGTGAGAGGTGAACGCAAGATAACAAGCATCACGTTTGAAGTTTCAGTATACGTGGTAGAGTTGCTAACCTCACTTCTAATCTTCCATCTTTTTCGGCCTTACCTTCTACACTGCAGGATCTTCTGTATACCATGAGGAGAAATATTCATATGTTTGACAGTCCACAGTGTGTACTATGTGAGATGTGAGGTGATACTGCCGTAATCAAATAGACCAACGCCCATCCTAAAGATACGAAGTAAACTGGCAGAACACTGTGATCATTTCAGGCATTCGAGAAGATGCATCAACCCTAATGAACTAACTGCTGACGAAACCTCACCATTTGACAACATGCGTCATGTCTGATGCTGATATAACTTGGTTATCAATAAAAGAATATGTGTACCGCAGCAGTTTTCCCTTTGACTTCTTTTTGTTACTGTGAGAAATGGCCATTGAAAGTGAGAAATTTTTAAAGGTCAGCTGTCATCAACCATAGATGTTTACATGTTAACTGATAAAATATGTTGCGTGATATTGAAATTAGATGTGGAGTATTGGGTAAGGATGGAACGTTAATCGATGAAGTCGTGGAGATGAATTGGTTAAGATGACTAGAACACGTGTTTCATGTATTCCTAGGCATCTCCTTCTTCTACGACCAATACTTACCAACATGGAATAAGATTGGAAAAACGTTAGAGGCGGTGAAACTGAATCTTTGAATCAATCGATGAAATCTTTGTCGGTTAGTTTGATTCAACCGTGTAGGGAGGTGTAGACTGTCGGATGTTAAAAAGCAATGGCTGAAGAGACTATGTGTAATATATCTCAAAATCGTTCTAAATGTCCCAGATGCATCCAATTACATTGATCCCTCATGTTTTTCAACGATACTATTCTTTCTTTGTCTATTTTCTGCTTATTACAGTACTTTTGAACCCATTTTTTCTGCATTATAAAGACCAGATTGCTAGCAACAGACCAACTAAGAACCTGTCACTCAGAAAATACGCTGAAGGAGATGGATATTTGGTTGAGCATGCGCCGAGAAGACCGTTGAGTGAAGTCAAGCGCTAGGCAGATCACCGAGTGCAGACTGAATAGGAAATGACGAGTCGAACATGAGTACGATGGTTAAATGGAAGATACAGTGTGAGGAGGGAATAAGAGCCTATGGATATTTGTAGGGCGTCGGACTCTCGCCGGCCATGCACATGGTCCGAGGATCGATCCCCTGCCGACGCACACCTGATATCAATGGTTGGCCTAAAAAATTTGAGCTACCGATATCACATGCTGAAAATTCTATACTTGTACTGAAAATACAGTGTGGAATCAAGCTATGATCCGAAATTAAAATAATATGGAATGTGGCGGCTTGAAAAGCTGCACTTCTGTACCAGGTTCAGCGATGTTCGGAAGTGTGTCTAACATGTGTGTTTGGCGACTAATCGACCGGTGAACCACTGGCACACGGGATTATCGGACTGCTGAAGGTATAATGGAGGTGTGAAAACTATTGGAGGTGAAATGATGACCTTAGGTTATCAGCTGAATAGTCCTGTACGTCAGCTCACAGGGCATCCGCCTAATAATTAAGAAAATCATGGTTGAAACTGTACGATTGTATCTTTTTGCCTTACCAAGAAGTTGGACAAAATAATCTAAGACAGTTCTACCGACTAATCCGATCCATGCCTTTGCGTTGCAACGTGCAATTGGCTATAGTAAGGGGAATCGGGGTTTATAAAGTAAATGATTTTGGAGTTCTAAAGGCGCAGTGATCTTTCTTGTTTTCTTTGCTGTCCAAGTAGTACTCAGGACTTCAGGTTTCAAAGCTTGAATTTTTGCTAGCTTCGTACCGAAACTGCCTTTTTCCTCAGCTTACAAAAAGTTAAATGAGATTTAGGAGTATGTCGATCGGAAATTCAACGCTAAACCATTCGTTTGACTGGGGGGAGGTATTTTACCTCCGGAATCACAGACTCATATCAGCAATCTAGGAAGTTGAAAACTTCCATTTTATTCTCTTTACATGAAGCTGATTAAATAAAATAAATGAGAAAAATAAACTTACCAAAATCACTTTCATTCACAACCATTGTATCAACTTGAATTTCAATTATACCAAGTAGAATTCTATGCCAATACTTATCAAGTTGATCACTTCCCAACATCATAGTCATTGGTGGTAAGGGTATATCTTCGTCGTCACTGTCATCACTGTTTGTATCATGTTCATGATCCGAAAATGGTATATGGTCGACACTTTGATAATGCTGTTTTGGCTTGATCATTTTGGTTTTATGTAATGTTGTGATATTAGTTGAAGCAGCTAAAGCAGCTTCTTTGGATAAATTTCTAGCTAATTCATGTATAAAGGAATATTCTTTACCATCTGAACTAATTTTAAGTTTATCATTTGATGAACTCAGTGTTATCTGTTGGTGGGAGAAAGGATATTAAAAATATTAGTGATTTTGCATACTCAGTTATACTGGAAGTCAAATCAAATGTAGAATTTACAATTTACACATTTTAACAGAAGGTGAGGTCTGGTGGGGGTAAACTTTCACCAACACTATATCCTTTCTAAGTCAAAATTATGCAGATGTAAATAGATATGATGTGCTTCATACCAATACAGAAGGCGGGTAATGAGGAGACAGGCATAAAATGTGCCCATGCGAAAAACTTGGAGGATCTAGATTTTGCCGATGATATACGTCTGACTTCCCACAAACTGGAAGATATGCAAGTGAAAAGCAACAAGTTGACAGAGGAAGAAGCATCAAAGATAGGACTTCACTTCAGGTGAACATAGATAAAACAGAGTCGATAAAAATTCCTGGCCAACACCGACAGCAACAAAAATAACAGACAACAATCAACATAAGTCGGAGAAATCTGAAAGGATCAACCTCCTTCACCTACCTACCTATATGGAAAGCATCGTTTCAACTATAAGCAGACGGAACTGATGACGATATCAAACTGAGGATCAGGAAAGTAAGTCAAGCTTTCATTACTCTGAAGTCTGTGTAAAGGTGATCAACAACACTCAGAAAGAAAAATAAGATCCGGATTTTCAACTCCAATGGGAAGTGCAACTTAATATACGGACCAGAGACTTGGCCAGCGCATCACGAAGGGCACTTCGAACGATCTCCACACCTTCATCAACAGCTGTCTTCACTCAATACTTCACTTAAGATCAGATGGCCGGCTAGAAAAGATCAGCAACAGGGAAGGGGTCTTTGGCAATGAACGAACCAACTCAGCAGGAACCGATTCTGTAACAAGTATTCAGGAAGAAATGGAGGTGGATTGGATTGGCCATCGTCTGAGGAAACAAACCATCAAATGAGTGACATCACACGCCAGGCCATGGCTCGAGTGGAACCGAATAGGTGGCGCCGAGTTGGTTATCACTGCGAGGGTTACATGGTGGAGGTCATGTGCAGAGCAGAGGAAGTCATGTCAACAGAGGTAAAGCCAGGTGAAAACGTTGGTGAAGAACCAAAAGCAATGGCGACGTTCGTCTGAAGGCATATGTTCCTCTAGGAATTAAAGGAAACAGTAAGAATAATTCCTACCGTAAAATGTAACGGAGAAATAGGGAGGGATAAACTCACCACTGATTGATCGATATGAATAACTGGACATCACTAACATCACTAAGTAGGGCTTAACAACTAGATCGAAGTAATGTAACACTCCGGATGGCCTTTTTGTTTGTTTGACGTCTAGTTCAGCAGGCGTACACACAGTTTAATTCAGTTCAGAGAGACAAATCAGCTCAAATTCATCTCATTCTTGCTAATTGATTGGGTGTACTGGTGATACATTAATTGAGATTTGCAGTTTAGTCAAATTCACCAATCACTTTCATCTGGCTTGCTGTCACTAATTACTGAGGTGAACGGTATCTTACTACTTATTAAGACTGGTCAGTAGTATATTGCGTCACGCATCAAAAATCGTAGAAATATGAGGTGAAACTATAATTTTAGGGGAGACAACGACAGCCTGACTTCATTACGAAACGACATTAGTTAGTATTGATTGACATGATGAGTAGCATAAATGCCTTACACACCGATGAGCTGAGCTCGCTAGCCTAATGAAATTAAGGTTAACACTTGACGACTATTTCTTCACTCTTGGGACTAAGTTCATTAATGGTGCTTCCTGGAATGGTTCAACTGGGAGTCCTGAATCCCTTCAAACCATTTGAATTCTAACTGTCTACTTAGGCGAACTGGTAATGCATAGAGTTACACATTGTCAATACACACTGTATTATACCTAATATTTGAACTGATTGCTAGAAAGGATTAGCAGTGATGAATCCTGATAACAAACCATCCAACAACCCTCACACAGCTCAACAGATATGCAGAAGAAAAGAAGACATGAAGTGAACACACGTTGAGGAGACTGCTGAGAGAAATCACCCCCCCCCCGGGGATGATCTCGAATGGAACCTGAATGGGATATAGCAGCTAAGGGTATGAGCCTAAGGGTTATATGGGGGGTACAAAAAGCGAAGAAAATTTTCTTTTCGACGATTCATTTTCATGAGCTGTACGGTAATCGTAATTATAATTAACACAGAAATATTTAGACCAATCAGATACTGGTGAACTTTGTCCTTGAAAATTCTACTACATAATGTGTGAGGTGTAAGAAGGGATGACTAATTGTAAGTTAGAAAGGAGACAGAAGTTGGCATACCTTAACAAGTGTGAGATAATGACTAGTTAATAAGCTCGTGTAGAATGGACAGGAACTAGTGGAAAGGCTATAAAGTGTTTTTGTATAAAATCGCAATGAAAAAGCAATGTTATTAATAAACAGTAATAGAGTAGTAATAAAATGTGGATGATGGGAATAATAATGATAATAAAAGTATTAGGAACAACAATAATAATAATAATAGTGAACTTACATATTAAAGGAAAGAAGCAAAATTGTGGTAAGAACTTTACTCTGGCCATGGTAGGGCAAGAGAATGTATGTATCACTTTTGTATACACAGGTCAAGTTTCAGATCTCGAATAGCTAATGCTTCAGCTATGTACAGATAGCGTATCCGAAGTTCCTTTGTACGATATTGAGGGACTCTGTGTAACACTGTGGAGCAATCATGTGGGGGTGCTTCATACCGCTTTTGGCCACTTCAATATGTATTTATCAATTTGCTTGCTCGTGTGGAGCAAAGTATATCGGCCGTACGCAACGCCGAGTCCACAAACGTATTCTGGAACACTGCCCAGCTTGTTTAGCCAGAGGAGAAAACACCTCGATCCTCGAACACTTTGTCATCTTCGGACATCGAGCATCCCCACATGAATGTTTCACAGTGTTACAAAGAGTCCCTGAATATAAATAATTTTAAATGCTGTATTAACGTCAACTTTATGCTCACTATCTACAAGGTGGGCTAAAATAGAGGTACGAATAGATCTTGTTTGTCCCTTGCTTAACCATGCTGGTTGATGTTCGGAAATACGATGATGAACATCACTCAGCTCGGTTAAGCAAGAGACAAACAAGATACATTGGTAGCTGTGTGTTAGCACACTTTGTAGACAGTAAGGATAAAGTTATTTATCGCATTCCTACTAATCTTAATTTAGCTCTACAAGTTCGTCTTCTACAGACAGCTGAAGCAATAGGAATCCACCTGAAGAAGCCAAGCCTTTTTGTTTAGAAGAAATTTGTACAGCCACTTTCTTTACCTTTGCCATCTCTACATGAATGTATCAACCGGAGACTACCTCGCCACCCCTCTCCCGCCAAACCTTTGAGTATTATAAAATTTATAATTGTCCAAACTATTTCATTATTTTTTCGACTTCATCTTTAATCACGTGTTATTCTTGTAAAATTATTTTATTCTTATGACTACTTCAACCTTAGTTACAAATTATCATTGTCCAAATCGTTTTATTTTTTTTAACAATCTGTTACGTAACCAACCTGTGTACACGCTTATTCCTTCCTTAACTACTCTTCATTATTCCAAATTTATGCATTGCCCAATCCGCATATTGTAATCATTTCTACCTTTAAAATTGTGTGCATTAATTTTCTTCGTTAACACATTGTCACTTGATTGGTAAATTGTTGTGAATTGTGATAAAAATGCTATGGATATATATATTAGAGTAGAGCCAGAGATGAGGATCTATTTGAAAAGTAAATATTTCTTCGCTCAATCCTCCTACTTTCTGGAGAAATGATTGTGTGTCCGTCTAAAAATAACTACCGGAAACAGAATGAAATGGTGATTGATCGCTTAACTCCTATGTTCTGCCCGGAACCTAATAGAAATTGTAAGACAAGATCTATGAGGCTCGAGGTAGTGATTATTAATTCTAACTCATTGTACCTGCATAAATTTAGTATATCAAATCTCCAATGCTTTATTTTCACATCACACCCAAATTGGTCGAATATCATCACCACATTCGATAGCTTTTTGGATTCTGCACAGTGTTTCTAATTGTTCTTCTTACAGTTCTGTTCTTCGATTGCCTTTTTTATCCAGTGTTCGAAACATATTGTTGCTTTTCTGAATTCGTTTACTGACATACTACTTATATCTGATTATAAGTAGCCCTGACTACAACAATAATATCAATAATAATAGTAGTAATAATGATAATAAATTTTAACATACCTCTATTGTACTCTGATATTCACTTGAGTAACCTGCTTTTATATCACAACTGATACCAATCCCCATTTGCTGATTCCCCCCGTGTTGATGATATTTTCTCAATGAGGGTAAACTTTTCACAGCATTACAAACATCACCAACTGTTGTAGCATATGACATACGTAGTTTAGAAAAGCGTAACAATATTCTAGCACAACGATTATTTAAAATTAAACCATTTGGTCGACAACCAGGTAATGCAGGTGGAAAATAAAAATTTGGTAGTAATGTGTGCAATTGTTCCGGTATTGACTTGCTAGCATTCAAGCAGACTGTACGTAAATAACACGGTGGTATAAAACAATCACTTTCTAAACCTGATGACAGGATATGACATATTTCACCATCTTTACAAGCGAAACGATCATTTTGTCCAGAAGCTTGTAAACATGACCAATATCCACAAAAATCCTTGAGTAAATCATAGAAATAATAATGATAATAATAATTATTTTTATGTATACATGTCTTCAGGAGAGATTAAAAGTGTCCAAGGGGAAGGTATATAGAAGTTAACTGGTGGATATTGACTAGCCGTGGGATCCAGGACAATGCACGTTTCGTCCTATTTGGGACTTGTTGTCAGCTGGGTTTACCTGCATTCTGCAGTGAGTGATAATGTTCCCACCGAGGCTCGAACCCGGTGAGGATAGTTTAAGACGCCAAAGCGTTATCCACCACCTCTTGTGCAACGGATCTGATTAATAATTCATCTAATTCATTACATGCCCAGACATCGTCGAAGCATCCGCGCAAGAAGCCGACATGTCAACCTGAGACCGAGCACTTCGGTCCAATCAATTGACGTGAAAATTTAAAATTTAATTAAATCTATCAAGTATACTTAAAAGTTAATTTATCACATGGCGAGCCTATTGACTATTCAACCTAACTGGTGGATGACAGCCACGGAGGTCAGTTAGCGTGGATGTGATAGAAGGTACTGTCCTATAACACTGGATGGCAGCCGCACTATATACATCGTGGTCAGATAGACAGGACTCCGTCCTAGTTGCTGAATGATATTTTAACCCTTTCCTAGTCTTATTCCTTTATGATGTCGTTAATCATATCCCTGCCACTGCGTATTACCTTATCTCATAGGCATAATTTGGATTCACTGTTGAACGGTCGAATATTTTTCACAATACGACTACTTCATGAGCGCTAACAATCATATAGGTTTGTGATATGACCGTTAATGCATTTGGTGTCTACTCTGACGATTTCCTACCTAGTCGATTCGTGAGCTTATCGTTCTAGCCAATATTAGAAACAACAACCATAAAATACCACGGAAGACACAATACAAAACAAGGAGACCGACTGTCGACTTTGAGAGTTTTTACAGTCTTGCATCAACAGTGAAAATGAACGACAGCGCTCGCGTATATATGTATATTTATATATATGCTTCGAACGACCTTGAGAGACTAATCCCATTGATGAATTAAAACGGCTAACAACCAATAGGATTTCAAAGATTATAAGTATGGTCAGAGAAATAAAAACGGACATGTGAAAAGGACAAATCAATACCCCATGACGGTTTCATATACATTCACGGAACTAGCGAGTGATTCGCTGTCAGTACACCTTCAATATGCATGTTCAAGTAATCTACAGTGTAAGATTAAACTTGGGCATCATGCAAATTAATCGTCGTTAGAGTGGTCACTTAGTTATGTGACTCTTTTCGCTTTAGCTAAAATAGAATGATGGTGGGTAGATATTCTTCTCAATGAAGGCACTGAGAAAAGTTTACTAATTGAGATGCGGTATGTTACCCTCAGAAAAGCCTGTCTTCAAGATGCACTTATAGTGGATAATGAAACTCTTCATATCATTTATTCAAGATTAAACTGGATACAATAGATTTTTGAGAAATTTACAGTTATATCTAATCAGTGGAGATAACTGTTGAGTAACATCCTCCACCATGTAGACCCTCGAGTGAAACCTGAATTGGAAGCGACAGATTGGGCACAGATCGGAGGGTAACACCGAGGGGATCGTGTAAGTAGAAAATTAAAGCCTATAGCCAATAGTGAAACCAGATAAAAAAGGACTGGATGCCTATTATCCACTCAGAACCTAGGGAAATAATAATAATAACAATGATAGTAATGAGTTACAAGCCCTCAGTGCAACAGAATTCTATATCATCACTTACATCTGTACAAATAATTTGTCCAGTATTACAATGACAACGTTGACAACTATACGTCCAGTTATCATTGTGATCGTATATTCGACCATAAAAATTGCAAGCTGGTGGTTTTGGTTCTGTTTCAATAATTACCTCTTCGCAGTGTTGTCCATATCGTCTTTCTGGGCATATACATTCATAAGCGCCAACACGATCAATACAAGTAGCACCATAGGCACATGGATGTGAAGCACACTCGTTGACATCTGTATATTTATAAAGGAGATGAGAAATCAGACAAAATTATGAGAAATCCATAAATTTTTGATTCTACAGAAAGAAATACAGCCTTCTTCGCTGGAGACATCTTTATTCTGCTTAATATTCACATGAACTATTATTATTGTTTTGTATTTCGAGTGCAACATAGGGCTTCTACAGTTTATCGGCATTTTAGTCCGTTCTCTGCACGCCTTCGTAACTGGTTCCACAATCATGAATAAGCTTTGATCTTTTCCTAACACGATCTCATCTATATATCACCCTTGAACCCATACCAAATTCGTAGATTCCTATTTCGGTCTGTCTGGAGGATGACACCACTCAACGGTCTCTTCAGTTTGTGTTCTATTCATCTGAATTCTCTTCACTATTTCCGTTGAGCTTTTGGTTCTTGGTTAGTTTACTGGCAGACTTCCTTCTTTCTAAATCTTTCTGGTTATCTTATCTTCAGGATGGAGTGTAGGTTGGTGTTGATGAAGTTCTGTAGTAGCCTGTTGAAAACAATTTTGTTGACGTATGTGAATAGTCTCTGAAGCATATAAAAGCTTTGACCTGATATTATTCATAAATAAGTAAGCATGTATACGAACAAGACACTGTGTACTTTGGTAGAGTATAATTTCATTACGCGTGAAATTTATTCTGATCAAATCTCATAGCGCTGTACAGTAATAGTTACTGATGACGTTTCGAGCACAATTTATTAGTGATCATAATCATATCAAGGCATTACTTACACAACTTTCCAACTTCGCTTATATTTTTCATCGCTTGATTTGATTGGTAGTAGCATTTCCCATATATCCGGAGTGAGTGATGAATGATTCCTATTACACGCGTTGGGTGCAGACTCGATGAACAAGGATTCAGTAATCAACCTCTCTCTCTCCACCTACCTAGATTACTTTTTAGAATTTTAACCCTCCTTCACCCTATTGTATGGTTGTGTGTTAATGCATGCATTGCAATTGCTCAGTTCTTTTCTAAATTACTTATCTTCGTGGGATCAGTTATTCTTACCATAGCTAAATTCTTATGTTCCGACAATCTGACTACCCCTGACCTACTAGTTTGACCTATTTAGTTGACCCCACTCACAGTCATTGCAGGGTATTTTGTAGATTATATTATCTTGTCTAACTGGGTCAACCGACAGGGTACTTTACCCTACAGAGCTTGTTTCACCTGAGTGAGTTTGTAGTTTACAATGCTACTTTAGAGGTTGACGGATTATCTCGTTCAACAACTTCTAATTAATTTATTCTCGCGTACCAAAGACAAAGCAAAAGCCAATAACCGATCGTCCAAACCAAGAGATGTATTTAGGAACCAAAACAAGCCGTTAGACGAACGCTTAGCTAGCTAGTGATCGTGCACGTGACACGACGAGGTACCAAATGGCGGGTATGCTTGACCGGAAGCCTTCAGCTAAACAAGTTGACTTAAACAGTGGTGGTCAGCATCCAATGAGTGATTGCTGTGGTCAATAATTTTGGGGAATTATTTACCGCTACACTACCCTAATTCCTGCTTTATTAGGAATCCTACGTAGGGCGTGAGATGTCCCTACTTATATAGTAGAACTGTAGATGACTTATAATCTTTCTTATTCATGTTATCATTATTAGTTTTTCCATTATTTTTATTTTGGTTTTGGCCTATTCTGATCTTCCTAATGAATTTTACCGGATGGTTGTTTGGTACCAGGGCTTATTCTATCTGTTTTATTTAATCATTTAGATTTAGATTTTTAGATTTACAGCTTGATTCCACACTGTATTTTTGGTACAAGTATGGAATTTTCAGCATGGATATCGGTAGCCCAAATTTCGCAGGCCGACCATAGATATCAGGTGTGCGCCGGCGTGGGCTCGAAACCCGGACCATGTGCATGGTCGGCGAGAGTCCTAACCACTGTGCCACCGACGCACAGATTAGATAGGTAGAAGAAGCGTTGGTGTTAAATAAATATCCTATAAAATTCATTAGGAAAATCAGAAAAGGCTAAAACCAAAATAAAAATAATAGTGAAATTAGTAATGATAACATAAACAAGAGATCCTACGTAAGATTCTCAAAGAAGCAGAAATTAGAGTGGTAATTATAACTCCAAACTCACTCAGGGACAAGCTCTGCAGGCTAAAGGACCCAGTTCACCCAATCAAACAAAATATGTTAGAAAGTTGTGTAAGTAGTGCCTTGATATGATTATGAGCAGTAATAAATTGTGCGCGAAACGTCATCAGTAACTATTACTGTATAACACTATGAGACTTTTGCAGCTAATAGTGTTCTCTGAGCTAGTTGTTTTAGTTGCGGAGCTTTCATCGTCCTTCTGGACAACATCTTCAGCTCAGTATTTAGCATAAGGTGAAATGATTTAAATTTCTTCATGAGTGATATAATTGCGTCTCCCGGTAACCATCTTTACATCTCTACTATGAGACTTTATCGAAATAAATTTAATCCATAATGGAAATGAGCGTGTAGTTCGTTATCTGAAGAAATGCTATTATCTCATAGTTGAGCAAGTGATTTAATCATAAGATTCAATCGTCGACAAGATAATCTTGGTTTGTAATGAGGCAGTACTTAATGAATTCATCAAATTTCGGTAGAATTCGGAAAGGCAAGGCAGGTCTTCGTCATTATGAAATCACTTTGAAAATCTGATGCACTCAGCAGCATAACCGACAGAATTCGTATTTTCAAAACCCGTGTTGAGTCACTTAATGCTTTTATAAGGCTCAGAAACTTGGCACTCGTGTCAGGAAAAGCGTCTCCAACAGGCTGATGTAGACTTCTGCCGACAGCTACCTTTGCTGCCTCTGTATTGAAGATCAGATGACCAGCCAAAAGGAATTAATGACACGGAAATCTGGGAATAATACAACCAGGAACTTATTGTTCCATAGATATGGTGATGAAAGTAAAGATTGATCGGATACACATGAAATCGTCCCATCGGAAGAAGAATAGGAAACGACGAGTTGGGTGTGATTCCGAGGTTGACAATGGAGAAGATCCTTCGAGGAGGAGATGCGAGAGTTTGAATAATCGTGGGAACAGATTAAGACGGCTGCAAATTTTTCATGTTCTGACTGGATTCTTTTTATACTGGATTGGAATCAAGCTATTACGATGTATCTACTGTCGCATTCATGAAGACTTTCTAATTATACGTCTTTTGATTATACAGTCAATCGTTTCCATCAGAGATACATCTAGGGGGTTCAAAAGTGTCATATGAAAGAAAAGACGTTCAGCGTGGAGAGTTACTCTTCTCAGCAGTGATAACCTTCTCGAACTGTACAATCACATATATGTATAATCAATCATCCTAGAGACAAAAGGAATATTTCCAATGATATATCATTAGAATTATGAATTTTAGATAACAAATTACGTAATGCAGAACGTGCTAATCGTTTAGAAACTAAGACAAGATTACGTAAGTTGAGTCATGTAATGTAACTGACGGAACTGAGTGAAATTCAGCATAAATTTGAAGCAGAGTCAAATTACCAACAGTGGTAATATTATTATTATTCTTTCCCTTAGTTCCTAGAGGAGCATAGGGCTTCAGCCTCACATCTCCACTGAGTTCGGTTCTCCACTAATGTTTTCACCTGGCTCCAATCTGCCCACATGATTTCATCTCCTGTTCACATCACCTCCTCCTCCATGTCACCCTCACGCTGATCGCCAACTCGCCGCTTCCAATTCCGGTTTCACTCGAGCGATGGACTGGCGTGTGATGTAACTCATTTGATGGTTTGTTTTCTCAGAGTATGGCCAATCCAATCCACCTCCATTTCTTCCTGAATATTTGTTGCACTATTGGTTCTTGATGGGTTAGGTTGGTTCGTTCATTGCCAGAGATCCCTCACTATTGCTGATGTTTTCTGGCTGGCTATCTGATCTTGAGTGAAGTACTCAGCGAAGACAGCTGTTGATGGTGTGTAGTTTGTTTGAAGTGGCCTTCGTGACGCGCTGGCCAAGTCTCTGATCCGTGCAATACGTAGCATTGACTTTACATTGGAGTTAAAAATCCGGATCTTATATTTTATGCCGAGTGCTGCTGATCTCCTGCTTAAAGACTTGAGAGTAACAAGAGCTTGCCTTGCTTTTCCGATCCTTACTTTAACATCCTCGTCAGTTCCACCTGTAGTTGAAACGATTCTTACCAGGTAAAGAAAGAAGAGTTCTACAGACAACTATAGTGGTAGTATGGGGTACAGATTTGGTTAAAAAGCAAAGAACTATAATTACGTATCCAGTGCTGAGATAGATCAGGCCCAGCGTAGATTTAATAAGTGAACAAAATTCTCTTGTATGCAAGGTTCAGAATTTAACATTGGAATCGCCATTGCTTCTGTGGTTTGTGGAAGTTCGATTTGCACTTTTTTAAAGGAAATCCCTGTGTGTTCTATAGAAGACTTTGAAGTTTCTCTGTGGGTTAGCTTGGTATCCAGATTCGATCAGGTGTTCCATGACTGTGTTCGATGATGCGATTGGATAGCAAACACCAGGTACGGCCGACGTACATCGCTCCACACGAGCAGGTCAGTTGGTAGATGCACCTTAGTGAGACCAGTCGAAAGTGGTAGCTTACCCTTTACTTTCATGCGAATCATTGATTTCATCGAGGAAGTTATTCTCATTCCGACAGCGAAGAAGGTTTCCTTCAGTGAGTGGGACAGACAGTCTCTCAGTATTTCTGCCGATAACTCTCCAGTGAATTGTAGATTCAAGTAGAATCACTTCTTGGCTTATCTCTGAAAAGAGCTACTCTTCGCTAAACGCCTTTTATCTTTTATTTAACAGTGTTTATTGCCTCCCTGTTGTACTGTGAAGTTAAGATTCAACTATTAAGAATTTTTCTCCTCTGATTTGCGTCTACACACACAACAAAACTATCACCACACGTATGAAAAACAAATATGCAAACTGTACTTACTGATTCGGCAATCTGTCCCAATAAAACCCTTAGGGCAATCACATTCGAATGAATTAATGAGATCTTTACACGTTCCATTATTATAACTGAAATTTAAAGAAGTAATTAGGTATAGATATGATAAATAAGATTTGTAGCTCAGGTGGATGATTTTGATGTGGTTGTGTTCTCTGAGCTGGATGGTTGATTTGCGAAGCTTTCATCACCCTACTAGGTGACATCTTCAGCACATACTTCAATTACTTGAAGTGAGCTTTCAGATTTCGCCACGAGTTTATTGACCATCTCTTCTGGTGACCTTCGACGTCGTGATTGGTTGTTTTTGTGTGTTTTCACACCTTCTAGGCAGCTACTTGTATTGGAACTGATTGTTTCTCTGACTTGAACTTTGACCCTTTGTGTGTGAGGCTTCTTTCTTATCGGTTGATCAATTTTGTCTATTTCCATGTGTCTATTGATTGATGATTCACTGGAATGCCAGGAAGCCTTCTAAAAATTCCCTAGCATTCTTGGTGTTTCCTCTGTCTAATGTTTGAATACTGATTGTCCCAGTCGAATGGACGTCCATGGTTGTCTCTATGTAGTGATATGAGTGATGGAGTGGATATCATGTCTTTTGACGGTTAACTTATGATCATGGATACGGAGACGAAGTGGACGTCCACTTTGGCCAATGTAGTGTTTTCGCAGTTGTGACTCAACAGCGACAGAAGATAAAACCAACATCATCTACAAAATAAATTGTAAAAACTGCGAAAACACTACATTGGCCAAAGTGGACGTCCACTTCGTCTCCGTATCCATGATCGTAAGTTAACCGTCAAAAGACATGATATCCACTCCATCACTCACATCACTACATACAGACTGGTATTCGTGTGAATCATCAATCAATAGACACATGGAAATAGACAAAATTGATCAACCGATAAGAAAGAAGCCTCACACACAAAGGGTCAAAGTTCAAGTCAGAGAAACAATCAGTTCCAATACAAGTAGCTGCCTAGAAGGTGTGAAAACACACAAAAACAACCAATCACGACGTCGAAGGTCACCAGAAGAGATGGTCAATAAACTCGTGGCGAAATCTGAAAGCTCACTTCAAGTAATTGAAGTATGTGCTGAAGATGTCACCTAGTAGGGTGATGAAAGCTTCGCAAATCAACCATCCAGCTCAGAGAACACAACCACGTCAAAAAAGTAATTAGGTATAGATGCGAACTAGTAGCATACTTATATTAATATATATAATTATGTAATATGCATTGTTGACTCATATGAGCAGCGTCATTGTATTCAGGACTCATCACTTGGATGTCCCATAAAATCACAGTGAGTGATGACTTCCCACAGAGACTTGAATTCAATACCCTCTCGACCACTAAACCAACCACTGAATTCTGTTCTATGTGGTTCATTTCAGCCGGCTCTATAATTGCCCGTAAGCTTTCATTTCCTCATCACACAATCTGTCTTCCATGTTACTTGCGAACCTCAATGGGTTGCCTCTTCCTAAAACTTCGAAGTTGCTAGGCTGATTTTCCGTGGCAGTATCGCTAGCCCCACGCACAACCCATCCTATTTTCCTGGTCTTAGGACCGGCTAGGAAACTAGTAAACCAGCAGACTAGGCTAAGCTGAATATAAATTATAATCTGACAGTTGACTTACCATGGCATTGAATTACACTCATTTATATCATTTTCACAGTACTGTCCATCAAAGCCTGGTCGACATATACAATTAAAGCTATTGCCTAAATCAACACATGTAGCACCATTCTTGCATAAATTTTCTTGGACGCATGCTCTTGATTCTGGTCGTCCTACAAGGAAAACAATGGAAAAACCAAAACTACTTAACAATTCAATTCGAAGTCCTAATTACAGTGAAATCTATACAATAACGAGATTACTGTGGTCAGACTCATTGGGATAGTCATGGTTTGATAAACTAATATGGGTGTCCAGAGCACTGAGCAGAAACCAAATTTCGTCATAACCGGTCAGTGAACATTGCAATGCTTTGTTTCAATTAGATAGTCGGATTCCCCTGGTTCATGCCGGTTGTGAGTTAGCCGTCGCGCGTGCAAAACAATGGAAGCACAGCCACTTGACGCGACGCAGAACAAGTCCACGCGCGTTGCTAACCATACAACACTAACAGCTAAAAATTGCCCACAATCGATCACTATTAGAGTCCAGTAACTCCACAACATCATGCATTTATTCCCCGTGGATAAATTTGAATAAAGCAAGAACAATAGTGGTTTTTGCAGGATAATACAGTACCACCATTTATTTCGTTGGCTTCTCATCAGCTCAGCTGCTTACAGCCTAAATAAATTATGAGGTTTAAGTACAGAAACGTTTTAACATACTTTCAAATTTTGCATGTTGCCAGTTGACAGAAAGTTCCACAATTAGTGAACAGTGCTCAGAAAGTTGCGTTTATATAGGTTTTACTCAGACAGTTCAAGTTTAAACAAAATAAATGAATGCATAGAATGGTAAAGGAGTTACGTAATAAAGAAGAGATATGCGTTAGATGCTGACTGACTTATAAGTTAGGTAGGAATGTACTGAGTTCAACTCAAATCATAGAAACAAGAGACAAGCATAATTACAGATTATTAAGAAGGAGGGTGAGGTTAAAGACAAAGATTACGTAATCAGATGAGAGAAAAAAGACATCCAGTTACCAGGGCAAGGAAAGACTAATAACTGCTTCTTTCTGAACACATAAATCTGGTTTCAAGCGTTTGATAGAAATTGCTTCGACAAACTTGAGGAGAATGGAGCTCCTGTGTCTATTGATAATTTTGAAGGATTTCTCGATTTCCACATCATGACCTTTGTCGAGGAGATGTCTGGTAATAGCGCTACTATAAGCGTTTGTTCCCTTGAGACGTAGGCTTTACGGCATATGTTCAGAAAATAGGTGTGGCCTTCTTTCTGTTCTCCCAATGTAACTGCTCCCACAGATACACGTGAAGTTGTTTTGAGCAGGGTTTACTAATTGTGAAACTTTCTGTCAACTGACAACATGTAAAATTTGCAAGTATGTTAAAACGTTTCTGTACTTAAACCTCATAATTTACTTAGGCTGTAATTGGCAGCTGGTGAGAAGCCAACAAAATGAGCAATGATGGTACCATATTATTCTGCACAAACCACACTGTTGTTCTTGCTTTATTCAGACTCCAGAACAATGTGCACCGAAGCACACGAAGCAACAAAGAAACCAGCCCCCAACTGGACCGACACGTATCTGATCTCAAACTTTCTGATCCAGCCCCCCCCCTGAAAGTTCCAAAGATCCAATTCGCCGACTTCCCTTCCCTACACTGTTCAACTTCCAGAAGCTGTTCAACTTAGAGTCCTACTGAGGATATGAGTACGGCCTACCACGAAAATTCAGCTGCCTGGCTTTGATTTTCAAGAGCCAACAGGAGCGTTCCGAATACCACAAGAAAGAATAGAGTCGTAAATATCAATGGATCCCAAAGTACCAATATCTCTAGTCACTTTGATGAATTCATCCACTGCATATACTATCATTTCACAATGGATCTTCCGTGTAGCAAGCTGGAGACATTCTCACAATATAAAGGAAACAACTGTCTAGTGTAATATGTTTCCAATGGTTTTTATTACCTAACTTATTCTCTTTTGTTGTTCACCATTATTCTTCCCTTGTCTTTTCAAACAACACTAAGGCATATGACATAGGACACTGAAGACTGTACATAGGGTTAGTGGTGTGTGTGTGTGTGTTTGACTCAGCTAACTAACACTATTATCAAGAGGCACTTCAATTTGTGCAAGCACCTATGTAAAGTTATCTTTTCTGATACCACTGAACATCCTCTCTACTTATTCTCAACTTTCTCCTTGTATCTCTTCGTGGGTGAAACCAGAAGAAACTTCATAAGAATTTATGCTCATACAGCTACTAAATATAAAAATTCTACCATACCACCATATTTAGCAGGGGGTTTTGTGTGAAGAGAGAGTCAGATGTCAGAAAAGAACTTATAAACCTTTTTAATTTAGTAACTGACCTGCAAAGTATAAGCAAAGATTATTATTTTTACATGTTTCTCTCGATAAATCTTGGAGGATATCCATTCTCTATGAGAACTTGTCTGAGTCGCTCCAATTCCCCATCGATTGTATCACTTGAACATATCCTCCTTATTCTTGAGGATAATGAATGGATCAGATTTCTCTTTCTTCTCAAAAGGCCTACTATCGACAGTTTCCATTTGTACCAAAGATACATGGATGATACTTTCATCATAGGTGACGACAATACCGGCATCTAAATGATAACTAAGGAGCTCAACAGCTGCCATCATGCCATCATGTTCATGTCGGAATCAGAGATTAACTCGGAATTCCAATTTTTGGATGTTTTTCTAAAGAGGAGATCTGATGATGGTTCTCTTCAAAGATCGATCTACAGGAAACCAACATGGAATGGCCAGTACACAAATTTCCATAGCTGGGTTTTTTTGAGAAGAAAGAGAAATCTGATCCATTCATTATCCTCAAGAATAAGGAGGATATGTTCAAGTGATACAATCGATGGGGAAGTGGAGCGACTCAGACAAGTTCTCATAGAGAATGGATATCCTCCAAGATTTATCCAGAAAAACATGAAGTTAAGAGAAAAGCCTGAAAGAATCTAGACGGTGCAGAAGAAACTATTATTACGTGTATTATCTATGATATTATCTATTTATAATTCATCGTGTTTCCACCAAAATTCTTTTTATAGTGGTGGTTCCCTTATTAATATTAGCATTATTATTACTATTTTTTCTTGTGGCGCAGCGATGGTGCATTATTCACAACTAGATGACAAGGTTTAGAATAAAGGGATTAGTATTACTTATTATTAAAAATGTGGCAACAAACAACAAGAGGACAAGGGAGAGAGAAAATATATGTATAAGACGAATTGTTAAACCATGTCACCGAGTTGGTATGATTATGAATGGCAATAATTCACGCTCTAGGCCTTGTCATCCAGTTATGAAGAATGCATGATCACTGCTGTGTGATTTATATATGTTCAAATCAAGTACACTTTTAATAGTTTGAAAAAATTTGGGCATTGGGTATATGATATTCGTTGTAATAATAATAAAGTAAGGTAAGGCTGTCTACTATCCCCAGTGATCTTCCTGATTGCAGTAGATTGCATAATGCGACAGACAGTGGCAGGCAATGAGGAAACAGGCTTAAAATGGACCCACCCAAAGAGACTTGGAGGATCTGGACTTTGCCGATGCAATATATGTCTGATTTCCCACAAACTGGAAGATATGCAAGTAAAAAGCAACAAGCTGGCAAAAGAAGCATCCAGAGAAGATAGGACTTCACTTAAGGTGAACATAGAGAGAACAAAGGTGATGAAGATTCCTGGGCAGCACCAACAACAGCAATAACAACAACAGACAACAATCAGCCAGCATGAATAGGAGGATCCTGAAAGAAACAACCTCCTTCATCTACCTGGGAAACATCGTTTCAACTCCAGGCGGACAGAACTGACGAGGATATCAAAGCAAGAATCGGAAAAGCAAGACAAGCTTTCATTACTCTCAGGTCTGTGTGGAGGTCAACAGCACTCAGCATGAAAATGAGAATAAGATCCGGATTTTCAACTCCAATGTGAAGACACTGCCACTCGCTATACGGATCGGAGACTTGACACGTCACAAAGAGCATCTCAAACAAATTTCATACCTTTATTAACAGCTGTCTTCGCTCAGTACTCAAGATCAGATGGGCGGCTAAAAAATATCGGCAACAGGGAGGGACCTCTGAGAGCGAACCAACCAGGAACCAATTATGGAACAAATAGGCAGGAAGAAATGTAGGTGGATTGGTTGGCCATATTCTGAGGAAACCATCAAGTGAGTGACATCACTAGACAAGCCATTGCTCGAGTGGAACCCGAAAGGGAAGTGGCGAGTTGGTCGTCCTAGTGTGAGGTGACTTGGAGGAGGTGATGTGAAGAGGAGATGAAAGCATGTGGGAAGACTTATAGCGGGGTGAAAACGTTGGCATAAAACCGAAGGCGATGGAGACGCGTAGCTGAAGCCTTATGTTCCTCTAGGAATTAAATGATATAATAATAATAATAAAGATTTTTATGTATTTCTAAATGAATGGAAAACAATGAACGATATTGTCGTTTTACTGACGTTTCACTATTTAATGCTGTTGCTAATGGCTTTATCAAAGTAGAATTATTAAACCGGAATTTACAAAATCTCAGCATAATATATATATAACAAAGATTTAAGGGGTGAGAAAATAGACTATTTAGGTCAAGTTAAAGGGACATATTTAAGGTCGAAATAGCAATGAAGATCGCTAAACCAAATGACAAAGGTGAGAGTACATCTGTTATGATATCATAACGAAGTTTACGCATGGAACTTAATCAAAAAAATCAGCACAGACATTAAGTATGGCCAAAAACACATTCCGAAAACATGGACCTCAACAGTCATCATTCCATACAGAGCAGAGACGTCAGACGATATCAGAAGAGTACTCAGTCAGCTCGACATTAGAGTTTTCTTCATAACATCTGACACACTTCAAAGCAACTTTGTCCATATGGTAGACCAAATCCCTAAAGATTCTCTAATTGTGTCTATAAAATAAAATGCTTGGAATGTGATGCAATCTACATCATCACAAGAGAGAAATCAAAATCAGAAGAAATGAACACCATTTAGCATCTGTTCGACCACTAAGAAATCCGGTTGAACTAGAAAAACTTGAAAAATCATCAGCCATAGGTCTACACGCTACACCATAGAATCAGGCCACAAAAATGATTTTCACAATATTGAAATCATCATCCAGAAAAAATTCAGAAATCACAAAGAACGTCTAATATCAGAAATACTTCATATTAAATGGGATCCAAATTGCCTGAATAAGAATGATGAATTAAAACAGAATCTGACCTGGTTACAACACCTCCTTTCCCCCATGAATTGACAAAGTCAACACGAATGTGATAAGCAATTCCATTATGTGAACACACACTGCTCTAACAATTTTACACACTTATCAAATCCAACACTATACACTTGATTTTGTTATCTATGGCCATTGATCAACTTGACAACGAAAAATGACCCCAGACTGACGGGCAATGATCAAGTTAGTAAACTTCGTTATGATATCATAACAGATGTACTCTCACCTTTGTCATTTGGTTTAGCGATCTTCATTGCTATTTCGACCTTAAATATGTCCCTTTAACTTGACCTAAATAGTCTATTTTCTCACCCCTTAAATCTTTGTTATATATATATTATGCTGAGATTTTGTAAATTCCGGTTTAATAATTCTACTTTGATAAAGCCATTAGCAACAGCATTAAATAGCGAAACGTCAGTAAAACGACAATATCGTTCATTGTTTCCCATTCATTGGGAAATACAAAAACCTTTATTACTGCTGTGTGATATTTAAAATAAACTTGTCTAGCGGGGAACTGCAACTGGAAGACTTGCAGTCAAAAACCAACAAACTGGCTGAAGAGGTAGGCAGCGAAAACAGGACTGCAAGTGAACACAGCGGAAGACAAAGTTAATGAAGATAATCAAACAACCAACAGCAACAACAACTGGCACCAATCACCATCAACATGAGAGATTTAATAGAGGTTGTCTCCTTCACTTATATGGGAGAAGCATCATTTCAACTACAGGCGGAATGGACGAAAGTGTCAAAGCCGGGCAGCCAGAATCGGAAAGGCAAGATATGCCTTCATCAACGTGGAACCAGTTTGGAAATCTTACGCATTCAGAGTAAAGAACAAGATTCTCATTTTCAACATCAATGTCAAGTCGCTCAGTTCTGTTATACGGTTCAGAAACTTGAACTGTGTGTCACAAAAATGATTTCCAACAGGTTGCAGAATTTCATCAACAGCTGCTGACTTCTCTGGCTCCATACTGAAGATTGAATGGCCAAAAAGAATAAGTAACAAGAAACGCTGAGAATAAATCAGCCAAGAACCGACTGCTCAACAAATATGTAGGAGGAATTGGAGGTGGATCGGACATACATTGGGGAGCCCATCGAATGACATCCCACACCAGGCCATCACTCGAGTGGAATCTCAATTGGAAGTGAAGAGTGCGTCGTCAGTGAGGTGCTGACATGGAGAAGATCGTGTGAGGAAGAGATGAGAGAGTTTGGTCAATTGTGGATCTAGATGAAGAGGATGACAGAAAACAGAACGAAGTGGAAATGTCTTGTTGAAGCCAGTTCTATGTTCTACTTGGAACGCAAGGGAATAATTATGACAAATATGGAACTTTTAATTCTAATAGTTATTATAGTAAAATAATGTTATAAATATATGAATAACTCACGTAATTGACAAACAGATCCCATCCATTGATGATCACATTCACATCGAAATAATCCAGGACTTAAATGATCTTGGTGACATTTCCCATTGTTAAAGCATATTTTAGACACTGAACATGGATTATCTGAGTGGAATTCACACCAACGACCAGACCAACCTGGGGCACAACGACACTGGAAATCACCTGGGTGTAAGGTATGCTGACAATATCCACCATTTTGACATGGATTTGGTTGACATAAGTCAATTGCTAAATAATATTAAAATAAATTCATCAACTAATATATTTCTGTAGTCAATAAATTCAATAGTCTCTGTAACGAGTTAATTCTGTTTTATAATATAACAAAATTAAGCGGGTTATATAAATTCACTGCGGTAAAACAAATTTCCGCTTTATTCTGTGTTCTACTAACCTCTTTAGCTAGGCACGCGATTGCCCATAATTTCCCCCCATCTGCTCCATCGCACGATCTCCTCCATGTCACCCTAGGACCACTCAGTCGTCGTTTTCCGTTCTGCCTCCACTCGAGGAATGGCTTGGCGCACAATATCATTTGACTGTCTACTCATTGTGTGTTCGATCCGTAATTATTTTCTCTTAGACATGTGGGATTCAGAAGGTACACTTCCTTCCGTTTTGGAATAAATCAGTCTGCTGCATCCGCATCCCAATAAATTGTCACTTTGATACTGAAACTTCAACTTGGCACTCACCATTTTCAACGCTGAAATATTATCACAATGATACTGGATCATGGAGATTTATTCTCTAATAAGGCGTATAACTTCTTCACATGATCCATTTGTCTTAGCAGTATTTTGTTAATATATTTGGTGTAGTCATCCAGTTGGTGAGTCTCCTTCTAAACTCTGCAGGAAACTACCATCAAACAAGTCAGTGCTAGGGTATTGGTTCATCAGCTGAAGCATCAGAAAGTAAAAGCAATCAACATATGACTCTGGCCACGAACCAACTAAGAGGTTACCTTCCAACATATATATTCAATAGGAAATGTAGATGGATCGTACATACTCTGAAGAGGCCGCTGAGTGGAATTACACTCCAGGCAAGACTTCAATGAGTTAGGCGTCTGAGGGTAACATGTTGTTGATTGTGTGCAAAAGGTAGTGACATCTTTTAGGTAGACGACAGAGAAAAGAGTGAAATGTCGATGTGTCGCTGAGGCCTTCTTTACAGCAGTATCTTGAAGTTCTGCAATACATACAGTAATCTGAAAACTGATTTCGCAGGCCAATATTATACCTGCTTGTAAAAGCCTGTTAAATGATTTACAATGAAAATGAATATTTTTAAGTACTGATGGGACTAACAGCGACACCAGCGTCAATGGCACAGCAGTTAAAACGCTCGCCGACCATGTATATGATACGGGGTAATAAAAAACAACTGGTAAAGAGGAAAGGTTGGGTATAAGGCTAGCAATCCCATCCTGTAAAAATAAACACTATTGGTACAAATACTTCAAGCCTCTAGCTTGAAGTCTTATGTTCCACTGAGAACGTGAAGGAATGAAAAAAAAATTGATGGTACTGATTTCAAAGCAGACGTCGTCATGATCTGGCGTCTGTTCAAGAATCATTGATAACCAGAAAGCACTAGAAAGCTATTGAAGCCTAACTTGAAAATCTCTTCAACATAAATGTCGCCATAGCAGCAATGTGCTTTAGATGTTCATGTTACGTGTGACCATTGGTGTCAGTAGCAAACCAATGACCCACGAATTTCAACTCTGTTAGCCATCGTTTATTCTAATCCTTTTATTCTTCATCTGGATATTCTCACATTGTTCAACCTAACCGTGGATCGTCTTTGACACATTTTTCCTGTTTTGCCTTATTAACAGCCACACAGTAACAGTACATTTAACAGCATTCAGAGATAGAAATCTCACAATTTGAAGCTTGTATATTATATTCATTATTTTATATATAATATATTGATGTACTTTGGAGAAATCTTGTGTCAATACTGGTGAACATTGATTGGTTTGTTTATTCGAACTGATCTCCATTCGGTGAGTTACAAGTCGTATACTGTTTGACAGAAGACTGACGAATTACGATCAGAGTTTTAATTGTACATTTTATTTTTATTTTTTATTTATTTTTTGATTACAGCTTGATTCCACACCGTGTTTTCAGTACAAGTATGAAATTTTCAGCATGTAATATCGGTAGCCCGAATTTCGCAGGCTAACGATAGATATCAAGTGTGCGTCGGCAGGGGATTGAACCTCGGACCATGTGCATGGTAGGTAAGAATCCGAACCACTGTGCCACCGACGCATAGACTTCGCTGACAGTAACCTAGATTTCTGCCTCGTCATCATCAGTGAAAGACTAAACAATCGTATTACCCTACCATTTTCTTTTGCTTCATATTGGTTACTGTCGAAAGTATTCTGCTCGTTAGGCATAGTCTTTTAAAACCGGCGATGAATCCAGGATCCTTGCGATCTGGATATTTCACATCTTGTATGCTTCGGCTCTTACACGTGACTCGAACTTATGGTTTAATTAATCGACTGAAATTATGTATAGCTCCATATTTCTTAGAAGAAAGCAATACTTCCACTATTCAGTGTCATCAGTAATTTGTAAAATCTACAATCAAATCGGTCGAATTCCTACATCTTAACAGTTGAAAATTATTCCAGCTGTTCTTCAATGGATGACAGTGACAAATAATTTGTGGACTGGTTGAATCGACCAAGTGAGATGTGAGGAAAATCGTCAAATGACAGAATTTAGCATTCATTGGACATTGGATTCTGACTGACTCAGTGACTAAACGGCGACGCAGTTCTTTGGCGGTGTGAAGGCTTTAGGTTTAATTCTAAGAATGAGTCGCCGGTATAAACCACTGTTGATGACCTTAACTGGGACAGGACAGGTGTTCAGTATCTTCTGGTTTGCCTCTTATAACTGGTGTCGCTTAGTGTTGCGATCTCATCTGATAAATGAATAAACATGATTAGCACTCGTGTAACTTACGCTTTTCACACTGTGTCCCACTGAAGCCTTCTTCACATATACATTCATAACTTTCTAAACCATTCACACATGTTGCTCCATGCATACATGGATTAATTTCACAATAATTAATTGGTTGATGACAGTATTTTCCTTGAAATCCTGTACTGCATACACAACTGTAATCACCATTTTCAATTGTTACACAAGTACCATGTGGACCACATATACCATATGGATAAGTAATCTCTGTATTGACTAGTATATCATCTTTGTTTGAATTATTCAAATAAGATATACTATTTGTTGTAGTTACCATAGTGACAGCTGACTCTGGCGCTAATTCTGATGATGTTATGGATGAAATTGAAGTAGTCATAAGTAGCATATTTAAACAAGGATCTGTTAATGCATCACATCCATCTGGTCCACAATATGGTCGTTGATGTTCACAAAATTTACCGTAGAATTTTTCTGGACATTTACAGTAGAAACCATTTGGTAAGGTGTAACAATATGCACCATTTTGACAAAGATTTGGATTACAACCATTTAGTGAAATCTAAAAGGGTAGGCAACGATATCCAGTGAGGGAATTTTAAAAAAAGATGGGGATATTCATAATAACGTTAAAAATGTGCCAAAATATTTGAATTAATGGGGATAGTTGAATATTGAACGATGAAACACATAATGTGATATGTAAAATAGTTCATAGAATATGTACATGTTGGAAAGGGATGTAAAATTAATAGGATAACTAGGCGAACAGGATATTACCACATTAGTGAGGTAGTATTATTTACTGGATGACAAGGTTTCGAACACAATTTATTGCGGTTCATAATCTTATCGCCAGTTATAATCACACGACTTCCAAACTTGAGTTTTATAGTTTTCTTTGTTCTCTACTATTTGTCGTCGTTGGAGTAGTAGAATTTTCCAGATATCTGGGACAGGTGTTGAATCATTCCTATTACATGTATTTGCAGTTGATTCGATAAACAAAGCTTCCGCTATCAATCTCTCCCTCCACTCTATTACAATGGAATTTAAAACTGTCATCCTATCCCATCCTATTGTATGGTTTTATGTGACTGCATGTAATGCTATCGCTGAATTATTCTCTAAATTCGTTATCTTATTATTGGGGTCAACCAATCTAGATTTGGCTAGTTTTTATGTTCGGCTAGTCTTACTGTCCCTGTTCTACTAGTTTGACCTATGTATTTAACCTAACAGTCATTGGAGGCAGAGTATTAGATAAACTAAATTGTTTTGTTTTAGAGGCTCCACAGGATCCTTTAACCGACAAAGCTTGTTCCTAGTTGAGCTTTTGGGCTTTGAATGCCACTTTTATTCTTGCCCTGTTAAGAATTATGCGTAAGGTTTCCGAGGTTCCTTCTATGTATGGAGTTACTGTTTATGATTTAGACTCCTTACTGTTGGACAGGACATTATGTGACATGGTGATAAGATAAATAGATTCTGACACTGCATGTTTGTGACCATTCATGAATTCTGACCGGTTTTCAGAATGTTAAGCCATATATCTGCGAATCGTATTTGCACACGTTAAGTCTGCTGTGATCGGTTGGTGAGTTCCTCAAGGTTAAGCTTTGTTATTGTTTTTTCCCATGACCCTGATTCCGGGCGTAACACTGACGTAAACTGCTGTCTACAATTTTGGCTTGTTCGCAACCAGCTGTCACCACAATACAACTGTGGTCGAAAACGAGCAAATAACGTTTTGGTGATTGGTCTATACGATACCTCTTAACGGAAAGGATTCGTTGAGATAATAGAAAATGGAAATTCAAATACTTTAATACCTGTTGTTACTCGAATGATGAAACAAAGATCTACAATGCACACAGATGACTGGAATGGGTATCACTGCTTGTAATCCCTTGGGTATATTCACCATAGGATGATTCTGCGGATCCTATTGCAGGGATCCACAACAATTCTATCGATGGCCTTTGTGGAAGTTTGAAAAATCGGATTAAAGCCAATAATGGATCGCAAAAGGATGTTATTTGTCGTCGTTAAGATGAATATACACATAGGATGTGGTGTAACCTTTCTATCGATACTCCTACGCTGAACCGGGAGTTTTTTCATCATATGTGAGAGAAAGGTACCCTCTATTATACTTCTAAGCAGTCTATATGCATTCTTGTTTTCATAAATATACGTGTTTCATCCCCAAAGATAAAGTCTTTCACGTGATTGGTGCGTTCAAGGTCCTTCGCTGATTGGTTTGTTACTGGTACTTAAAGTTTAACTTTACCTGAATTGTTTGTTTACTAACCTCACAATTTTGTCCTATAAATTCATTTGGACATTCACATCGATATCCACCGGGAATTTCATGGCATATTCCTTTATTTTTACACGGTTTACTTGAGCATTCACGATTTATTTCACAATATCGACCTTCAAATCCAACTGGACATGTACAATAGAAATCATCCAACAAATCCTAAAAAATAAAAGAAAGAGAATAAAACAATGGCGGTAAAATAAATCTATTCACTAGCCATAAGGAATAAAGACCATGGAGTGCGAACGCACCAGAGACCTTGAACGCGTTCCATTCATTTGTTGAGTGGACCAGCCGTTATTATAGCTTCAATATGATGGACGCTGTGCATGAATTGATGTACAAATTTTGTCCTGATCTCGTGTTTATCCGTATTTTTCTTGCAAATTAATAAATGAGATGAAAGTGTATCTTTGTTTAAATCGATGAAACCGTAATTGGGAAGTATTTCTCAGTTGTGTTATGGTCAGTCCAGTATGAATCAAATCTAAGACCTTCTGGTTATAGGGCGAGCTCATTGACCATTTAGAGTGAATTCTCGCCGATAGCACCGGTTAGCGATAGCAGTAAATCGCAAAGTGACTGTTAGATTCCGTCCAAATGCCAAAATATTCATTGGCATAGTGTCATAACAGTTTTACCATCCTGCTGGAACACTTGCGATACTCACTCAAAAATCCTTACATGGTATCCTTAATGAAAACAACCAGACCTCTGGAAACAGGAATATTTCATACATTTATTCCCCTCGATGAATTTAAACAAACCAAGGATAACTTTGGCTTCTTATCAGAAGCTTACAACCTAAGTAAATTATTAAGTGTATGTACAGAAAATTTTCAACATAAGTGCAAATTTTACATGTTGTCAGTTGACAGAAAGTTTCACAATTAGTAAACAGTGCTCAGAAAATGGCGCTTATATAGTTTTTATGCAGGTAGTTAAAGTTTAAACAAGGTAAATGTATTATAAATTATTTAAATCTGATTTGGCGCTCATATTATTCCAGGAAGTTCGTAACATCTACGGTCTGGAAACTTATAAAGTAAATGTATGCATATAATGGTAAAGGAGTAACGTAATAAAGAAGAGAGATGCGTAAGATGCTGAGTGACTAATAAATTAGGCAAGAGTCCACTGATTCCATCTCAAACTAAAGAGACAAGCAAAATTACAATATATCAACGGACAAAGAAGCTCGATTCTCTCCAAGTTTGCCGAGGCGATTTCTATCAAACGCTTAGAACCAGGTTTATGTGTTCCGAAACAATCAGGTATCAATCTTTCCCTGCTTCGGTAACTCGATGTCTTTATTCTCTCTTTCATTTGATTACGTAAACTTTGGCTTGAACCTCACATCCCACTCCTTTGATATAGTGTAATTTTGCTTGTCTCTTGTTTCTATGGTTTGAGTTGAAATCAGTGGCCTCTTACCTAATTTATTAGTCACTCATTATCCTACGCATCTCTCGTCTTTATTATGCAACTCCTTTACCATTGTATGCATACATTTAATCTGTTTAAGCTTGACCTATCTGTGTAAAAACTATACAAGCGTAATATTCTGAGCAGTGCTCACTAATTCTGGAACCTTCTATCAACTGACATCACGTAAAATTTGCGATTATGTTAAAACTTTTCTGTACATGAACTTATCAATAATTTATTTAGGCTGTAAGCTGCAGCTGATGATGAGAAGGTGACGAAATAAATAATGATGCCATCATCTTATTCTGCAGAAACCACTGTTGTTCTTGCTTTATCCTCATGTGTGTTAAAAAAAACAAGCTCCAAAGACGTCAATCATATTTGTCCATCCAGGAGTTTCTATGGTCATATTAAACTGTTAATGGGGATAAATGTCACTTTAATTGGGTTATTCTACTTCATATTTTGGAGTACATTTGAAAATGTTACCTTCTATAGCACTTACTCATGTATTCAGATACAAAACCTTCACCGTGTAATACTGCAAACCATATATATATAAATATATATATATGTTATTGCCTCCTTTAGTTCCTAGAGGAACACAGGGATTCAAACACACGTCTTCATTGTGTTCGGTTCTGTGTCAACATTTTCACCTGACTCTACGTCTGCTCACATGATTTCATTTCCTCTTCACATCACCTTCTCTGTGTCACCCTCGCACTGATGACCAACTTGCAGCTTTCAGTTCGGGTTCCATTCGACCAAAATCCCTGGCGTGTGATGTCACTTGACGGTTTTCTCAGAGTGTGGCCAATCCAATCCACCTGCATTTCCTCCTGCATATTTGTTGTACAGTTAGTTCCTGCTGGGTTAGTTCGCTCATTGCCAGAGATTCCTGTTACTCATCTCTGCTGGCCAGCCATCTTATCTTGAGCGAAGTATTGGGCGAAGATATCTGTTGGTGGTAAGTTGTTTGTTCGAAGTGTTCCCTTCTTGACACGCTGGCCAAGTCTCTGATCCGTATACTAAATAGCACTGGTTTGACATTGAAGTTGAAAATCCGTATCTTAATTTTCATGCTGAGTGCTGAATGTTGATCTCCTTCACAAAGACCTGGTAGTAATGAAAGCTTGTCTTGCTTTCGTGATCCTAACTTTAATATCCTCATCAGTTATATTCACCTGTAGTTAGAATGATGCTTAGGTAGCTAGGTAGGTGAAAGAGGTTGCTTCTTTCAAATTTTTCCCATCTATGCTGATTGTTGTCTGTTGTTGTTGCTGCTGGTGTTGGCCAGGATATATATATATATATATATATATATATATATATATATATATATATCCCCGCTTACAGATATCAACTGTCAACTGATGAGGTCTGATTTAAATAGCTTTCAGAGACTTAATCCAATTACCATATTAACTGAGTCTAACGCATAACAGATGCTTTGCTTTCCAGATCATGCCTGTAAAACAAAAGACTATAAGAAGACATCACAAGTGTACACTTGGAAACAAGATAAGTGACGTTCAAATAAAAAGTTCAACTTACGTGACATGTTCCACCATTTTGACACTTTCCGACACAATCATCGATATCTTTAATCGAATATGAAAAGAGAGGAACAAATGTCAAATAGTGATTGTAAAGAATCCATAAAATAATTAAACTATATGAACCAATTAGTTCCGTTTATGAATTTCGACAAAGCACTAAGAAGACGTAATTTGTCTGAATCATCTAATGTATTCGCGCAACGCATTTAGAACAATCTCAAAACTGAAGCATGAAGGCATGTGGACATAAATTAAGGTCAAGTTAAATGACTACATTGAAGGTCAAAATAACAATTATTATATCTTTCAATTCCTAGAGAAACATAGGGCGTCAGCTACGCGTCTCCATTGCCTTCGGTTTTCCGCCAACTTTTTCACCCCGCTCAAAGTCTGCCCACATGCTTTCATCTCCTCTTCACATCACCTCGCACTGACGACCAACTCGCCGACTCCCTTTCCATCGGGTTCCACTCAAGCAATGGCTTGTCTAATGATGTCACTTGATGGTTTCTCAGAGTATGACCAACCAATCCATCTCCATTTCTTCCTGCCTATTTGTTTCACAATCGCTTCCTGCTGAGTTGGTTCGCTCATTGCCAGAGATCCCTGTTGCTGATCTTTTCTGGCCGGCCATCTGATCTTGAGTATTGAGCGAAGACAACTGTTAATGAAGGTCTGTAGTTTGTTTGAGATGCTATTTATAATGCGCAAAGTCTCTGATCCATCTAGTAAGTGGCACTGACTTCATATTGGAGTTGAAAATCCGGATATTATTTTTGATGCTGAGTGCTGTTGATCTCCTCCACACAAACTTGAGAGTAATGAAAGCTTGTCTTGCTTTTCCGATTCTGGCTTTGATATCCTTGTCAGTTCTGTTCGCCTGTAGTTGAAACGATGCTCCCCAGGTAGGTGGGTAGGTGAAGGAGATTGTTTCTTTCAGGATCCTCCCATTTATGCTGATTGTTATCTGGTGCTATTGTTCCTGTTGATGTTGGCCAGGAATCTTCATCACCTCCGTTTTCCATATGTTCACCTGAAGTGAAGTCCCATCTTTGATGCTTCTTCTTCTGTTAAATTGTTGACTTTCACTTGCATACCTTCCAGTTTGTGGGAAATAAGACACATATCGCATCGGCGAAGTCCAGATCCTCCAAGTATTTTGTGGGAGTCCATTTTGTGCCTGTTTCCTCATAGCCCGTTGTCTGTCAATGGAGATCACTAAACCAAATAACAGATGTGATAGCACATCTGCCCTCGTTGCTATCAAAACAAAGTTTATCAAAGATGGTTTAATGTGGTAACAAATTGTTTTTGAACGCATATAGATGGTTAAAACTTCCTAGTTGCTAGGGCTCTCATATACTTTAGGATATGCGCCAAACACGTTTTATAGATAGGTTAAAAAGACAAGTGGAAACTTAAAATTTATGTCCTATCTCCATAATATATTTCACAATAGAGCAGCTAGGTCTTCTCTTCTCACCGTTAATGGGATGTAGATATTCAATTTACCTCTGAAACCATCTAGGAATATACTCTGAACTCCTTACTTACACGATTCAAACAAATTACATCGTCTTATTAAAAAAAAAATTTTTCCTTCATGTTCCCCAGTGGAACATAGGGCTCCAAGCTAGTGGCTTGAAGTTTCTGTAGCAGTGTTTATTTTACAGGATGGGGTTGCTAGCCTCATGCCCAAACTTCCCACCTCACCAGGATTATTTCTGGCTTAACGAGGTAAAGGAGTTCGTCGGCCAGGGATCGAACCCCGGACCATGTGCACGGTCGGCGAGCGTCCTAACAGCTATACTACCCACGCCCTCATCGTCTTATTACTTTTCCATAATTAAACTATTCATAAAACTAAGTGGAAATATTTGAATTCACACAAGAGCACGTGATTTAATGATAACAGTGTTTCTTGTGACTGCATATACTACAGTTGCACAGCCGAAGTTTTAAACAAGAGATGAGATCGCTAGCCTAATACTCAGCCTTGCCTCTTTACTGAACTTACCAGTGATTAAATGAGGTTTAGCTGGGAACTGTGCGTCGGCGGCACAGTGGTAGAATGCTCGCCAACCACGCTTCATGTGATCCGGGGTTCGATTCCCGGCCAACACGCTTCCTTACCTCGCTAAATTAGTAATAAGATTGATAAAGAGGGAAGGTTGGAAGTGAGGCTAGCAATCTCATCCTGTAAAAATAAACACCACTGCTACAGAAACTTAAAGCCTCTAGCTTGACACCCTATGTTCCACTGGGAACGTAAAGGAATAAAAATAATGTGGTTTACTTAGACGAAAGCTTCGCTCAGTGTCTCTGTTGACAAAAATCATGTTTGATCTTTGCATGTACGACACATGCATTGACAATCATACATATCATCCGACAGTTATACGACAAGGCTGCATGCCAAGTAATCCACAATGGGAAACTTACGGAAGCCTTCGAAGTGAGGACGGGAGTGAGGCAAGGCTGTCTACTATCGCCAATGATGTTCCTGTTTGCAGTGGGTTGGATAATGCGACAGACAACGTGCCGGGCAGCGAAGAAACAAGCATAAAATGGACTCACACAAAAAAGAGACGTGTAGGATCTGGACTTCGCCGATGCGATATGTGTCATATTTCCCACAAACTGGAAGATATGCAAGTCAAAAGCAACAAGTTGGCAGAAGAAACATCATGAGAAGATAGGCCTTCAGGTGAACATAGATAAAACAGAGGTGATAAAGAATCCTAGTCAACACCAACAGCAACAACAGCACCAGACAACAATCAGCCAGCATAAATGGGAGGATCCTGAAAGAAACAATCTCCTTCACCTACCCACCTACCTGGGGAGCATCATTTCAACTACAGGCGGACAGAACTGACGAGGATATCAAAGCCAGAATCGGAAAAGCAAGACAAGCTTTCATTACTCTCAAGTTTGTGTGGAGGAGATCAACAGCACTCAGCATCAAAAATAATATCCGGATTTTCAACTCCAATATGAAGTCAGTGCCACTTACTAGATGGATCAGAGACTTTGCGCATTATAAATAGCATCTCAAACAAACTTCAGACCTTCATTAACAGTTGTCTTCGCTCAATAATCAGGATCAGATGGCCGGCCAGAAAAGATCAGCAACAGGGATCTCTGGCAATGAGCGAACCTACTCAGCAGGAACCGATTGTGAAACAAATAGGCAGGAAGAAATGGAGATGGATTGGTTGGTCATACTCTGAGAAACCATCAAGTGACATCATTAGACAAGCCATTGCTTGAGTGGAACCCGATGGAAAGGGAGTCGGCGAGTTGGTCGTCAGTGCGAGGTGATGTGAAGAGGAGATGAAAGCATGTGGGCAGACTTTGAGCGGGGTGAAAAAGTTGGCGGAAAACCGAAGGCAATGGAGACGCGTAGCTGAATCCTTATGTTCTTCTTGGAATTAAAGGATAGAATAATAACATAATGTAATGTACGACAGAAGTCTGTGTACACCGAGAGAATCAACTTTTAGGTTATAAGCAGCTGAAGAGAACCTGGTGACGAAATAAATGATGATTAAAGCGTCGGTGGCATATTGGTGAGAACTCTCGCCGACCATGCACATTGTCCGAGTTTCGATCCCCTGCCGACGCACACCTGATATCGATAGTCGGCCTGAAAAATTTAGGCTCCCGATATCCATGCTGAAAATTCCATACTTGTACCAAAAATAGAGTGTGGAATCAAGTTGTTATCAAAAAATAAAAATAAATTAAAAATGGTGGCCTCATATACTTTTCTAGACAAACATTTGGTTTTTACTTTGTTTAAATTAATAAAGGAGAATAAATGTATGATATTTCTTGCAAACCTCGGTTTATTTTGATATTACATATCTGCATTGAGTCTACAAATGAAGACACCAGTGGATTTTAAGTAAATCATTATGATGATGTTTTATAAAAATTATTCAACGAAATAATAGGGTAAATATTAACTTACTTTCATCACAGAATTGTCCTGTCCAACCAGGTTGACAATTACACTCGTAGTCAATTCCATTAACTGGTTGTATTAATTGTTTACAGTCTCTAGCATGAACACATTGGGAATTACTACACGGTGAAGGTAACTGACAATTGGATCCTTTAAAACCAGGTGGACATAAACATTGAAATCCAGGTCCGTCTAAATCTTGACATGTTCCACCATTTAAGCATGTATTGATTAAACAATAATCAATATCTAAAACGAAAAGTTTATGAAGAATAAGAAAGTGGTGAACATTTGGAATTCATGTTTGTGAGGTTTCTAAGCATGTGTGTTTATGTGATCTTAGGTATTTTAGGCTTAGTAATTGATATTTTGAGATAGCCCGCGAGATGAATTCGTCTAGAGCATCATTGAAAAAACCAGGGGTTACAAGACATCTATAAGTGTAGAGCTTGGACTCTGTGGTAGAATGTATTTCCATATTAGATAAGTCAATGTTAGATATCGCACACAGTGATGCAGTAATAAAAAGGTTTCAAGCATGAATTATTGCTCATAATCATATTAGTTTAGTCACACGGCTTCACACTCTGTCCTATATTTATTTTCCCTCTCTCCCTCCTTCCCTTGGTGTCTGTTGACACATTCCATATCTTCGGGATAGGCGTTGCGCCATCCTGATTGCATGTGTGCTGCGTTGTTGAATCGATAAACAAAGATTTAGTGATTAACCTCTCTGTCTCTCCACCTAACTATACTGCTTTTGAAAAGGTTGCGACAGGGTGAGAGTACTGAAAATTAATATAGTTAGGTGGAGAGAAAGTTTAGTCTCTGAAGATTTGTTTATCGATTCATGACCTTAGCACACTTAGAATCAGAATAATGAAACATGAGAAGTGGTGACAAACAACAAAGGGAGGAAGGAAAGACAGAAACCGAGAGAAAAATTTATAAGTTATATGTATATATATATATCCAGTTAACTAGAATGAGAATTCATGGGCCACTGGACCCCATCCTAGTGACTCAATCGTTCATGAGCTCACCTTGTAACCTGAAGAGCCTAGATCAGTAATCCTGCCAAGTCACCCGTTTTCAGTGGTTCTTTAACGGAACTCAGTTCATTGTCTAATTAATCCTTGAAATTTCATGAAGTACATTATAAATTAATGATTTTAACACAAAATGATAAAATTCACACCATATTTCCATCTGTTACTCTCTAATGAAAATACATAAAAATGATGACCATGGGTATCTGCTGTGGATTACACCAGTTGTCGTCATGTGGCATGACAAATTTATTTAAGTTGTTGTCCAGCCTCAGGCAATTCTTCAGCACTCTTTTCACAGGCAAACATTGCCACAACAAAGGTCAGTCTACGCAAATGAAATTCGGAAAATATGCCAAGGGTTTGCCTGATGACAGCCTTCATTTACCCTAGTTCACGTATGTATGTAACCTCGGGAGATATAAGAATTGGTAACGGACTATGTTTATTAGAGACAATAAACAATAATGCCGTAAGCCATGGAAGCCACCAAGTCAAGTAAGAGAACAGTAATTCACCTGTGTCACTGGTTGACAGCCGCGAATTGGCAGGAGTTGGAATTAGTAGCCTGGCCATTGGATCAGGTCCCAGTGGTGGAATTGTCTACGAACTTAACTTGCAAGGGGAGGGTTCTGAGTTTGAACCATGGCAGTTGGCCCCTACTGATGAGGCGTTCCAAACTAGGATGATACAGCTATTCAGTACTCTCAGGTTTTCCAGTGCTTCTGTAACTACTAATGTTAACTCCTGATCTGTAAGCAATCAAATCCTTGAAAACCAACACTTAAAAATATGAATAGAACTGAAAGTGATTCGTCGAAAATACAATTTTTTTCGCTGTTACGTCTCCGTTTGTTTATGACTCAGTATGGCAATTTTCCATTCAACTCATAATTATATGAGAAGCAGTTATCACTTCTCGGTTGACAATATAACTTTTATTTCAGATCAACTTACTTTCCTCACAGTGATCTCCTCTCCATCCTGGTTCACAATTGCATTCATAAGTTACATTATCTCTTGATACACACTGACCACGTTTACATGGATTAACTGTACATGGTGCCAATTCTAAAATGGAATTTAAAACAAAATAAATTGTAAATTGGTGGTATTTAAGTGAATTATAAATATTTTTTACCAACATTTGTATGTTCCCCAATCACTTCTGTTGTTTGAGATAGATTCCCAGCTAATATACTCCTCTCTGTCTGTCGTAGTTTATCAACCGATATTCAGTCTGGGTAAGAGAGAGGGTTGGTGATGGGGCTGGCAACTTCACCCTCATAAAAGCAACGCCACTGCTACTGAAACTCTAAACCCAAAAAATTCTGTGTTCCACTAGATGCAAGGTGTTTTTCTTCACTTCTCTGCAATTCAAGTGGAATAAAGGGTTTCAAATTTTATTATGGATAAAATTTTATTTTAACAAATCATACAGTGTGTTATACAATAATATTTACTACTGATGACCACGCCTCGAGTACAATTTATTGCCACTCATAATCAGAAAATCGTGCTCACTCACACGTTGACCGCTTCACCTATTTGGGAAGTACCATCAGCCAGTGCCAACGGGTTGATCTCTGACGAAATCTCAGCACGAATACAGGGGGCTCGTTTCGCATTTGCCAGTTTACGCCGACTCTGGCGTAGACGAGATGTTTAACTATCGACCAAAGGGCGGGTGTACTGCTCATCAGTCCGCTCCGTCCTCCTTTATGGTTGTGAGACCTGGCCACTGACAGTGGAAGACATGAAAAGACTAGCTGTCTTTGATCATAGGTGCCTGCGCTCTATTTCCCGTGTAAAGTGGCATAATAAGGTGAGCAATATTGAGGTTAGGCATAGAGTTCTAGGTAAACAGGGGAAATCAATCGACGAAGTCGTGAAGTTACAAAGACTGAGATGGTTAGGACATGTGTTACGTATGCCAAGTCATCGCCTCCCTCGACGAACAATGTTAGCGGATATAGGGTCAGGCTGGAAAAAAGCTAGCGGCGGTCAAACAAAAACTTGGCCGCACCAGTCAATGAAGTCCACAACAGTTGGTCTAAGCCACGTAGAAAGGTGTAGACTTCCAGACTGGTTGGGGTCCTCGGGACGGTAAAAATCTATGGTTGGAAACAATTGGTGACATGGCTCAAAATCGTTCTCAGTGGCGCAGATGCATCCACTCCCTGTGACTTATGATCTCCAATGAAACTGTTTTGTTCTTCGTTATTACTATTCCTTTGTCTCACACCTCTGCTCACTGTTTCTATTATGCTTTTTTTGTACTTTCTTCTCTTGCTTCGCGTGCTACACGGAATGTGGCGACTTGAACTTCCGCACATTTGTGTAAAGTTCTCTGTCGAAAATAGACAGACAGACAGACAGCTCACTCACACAACTTTCTTACTTCATTTATATACATGGGTGACTAGTGATAACTGGAAATTTGAATAAAATCAGCACAAGATGAAGTACATTCGGGAATAATAATATTATTGTTATCAACTAAATACAATCAGATGGGAAATAAGATGATTTTACTTGCTAGAATGTTACAATGTGAATTGAATTACATTTTAGCACTATTTATTATCCTCCTCTGATTTGACTGACTGACTGGTGGTAATAATATCTTCCATACCTCTGGTATTTGCATTGAGTCATTCCTATTTCATGTGTTGGGTGTAGACTCAATGAACCAGGATTCAGTAATCTACCTCTGTCTCTCTCCACCTACCTATATTACTCTTATGACTTTAACTCTGTCCCACCCACCCTACTGTGTCATTGTGTGGTTATGCGTTAATGCATACAGTGCGACTTCTGGGTTTTTTTCAAAATTACTTATCTCCATGGGGTCAGCCATTCTTACCTTAGCTAAATTCTTATGTTCTGAAAATCTGACTATACTACCCAAACTACTTATTTGACCTGTGTAGTTGACCTCACTCACAGTCATTGCAAGGTATTTTGTAAATTATATTATTTTGTCTAATTGAGTCAACAGTGTCCTTAAGCCTACAGAGCTTGTTCCACCTAAGTGAGCTTGTAGGTTTAAATGCATCCCTAATTCCTGCCTTATTAGGAATCCTACGTAGAGTCTCAGATGTCCCCTCCTTATATGGCAAAATTATGTAAGTACCTCGATGTGATTATCAGCAACAAATTGTGCTTGAAACGCCATCAGTTAATATTACTGTACAACACTGTGTGACTTCATCAAAATAAATTTTATCCATAATGGATTTATATATTCTACCTTAGTGCACAAGTTTTATCCTTATATCAAAGATCTTCAAAGTTTAGCTTTGAAGTTTCATTAGCGTTCATACTGTTTTCACAGAGTGGAATTTCTAACCTAACGTCCATATACTAAACAAGCTCAAAAGAGCTTATTTATTTAAGTTCATTCATTTTCGAATAAATTTGTCTTTTCGATCTCTATACTTACGATTAATGGATGATATTCTACGGACTCGAATTCACACTCTATCTACAAGTTCACCGGCAGTTGCGCAGACACTTTTTTTGGGTAGAACCAATAGAATATTATTTTGTCACTGGAGAAAAAAGTGTTTTGATGTGATGATTAAGTTACATAGAAAACCCAAACGGATTAATCTGAATAAAAATCCAGTAAGGTAGGTCAGAAAATCAATATGAAAAACTGCTTCTCACTTATCTTACATAATTATAATTTAAGGCTAGAAGTACTTTGGGGATCAATCGATTGTGTATTCCAAACTATGTGTACAAAAGACAATAGACTTCAACCTTCGCCTACTAAAGACTACTTGACCTACTTATATATGATTTGTTATCAGCATATACTTTTGTTTTACATAAGTGAGTAATTGCCATGCATTTTATTTTATTATTACTAACCATGCTGTTTGTAAAATTAACATTAAAAAACACGGAAATGGTATCGTCTGATGATATTTCTCTTCCTAATGCCTTAAATATGATTTAAATTTTTGAAATATAACCAAAATCTGCAGTACATTTAAAAAGTTGGAGATCTAAATTTAGGTGTAAGCTATTTACTACTTATAAGTAGGCAAAATATTTCAAAACAATTAGTAGGTGGTTTCGATGAATCAGTAAGTCCTAAACTGGTGGAAAAAGGTATGAGGATAAAACTTGGGTCTTGTGGTAGAGTATAACTCCACTATGAATAAACATAATAATATTATCATTTACAGAATACCTTGCAATGACCGTGAGTTTGGTGAACCACATAGGTCAAACTAGTAGATCAGGAGTAGTGAGACTATCAGGACATAAGAATTTAGCTAAGGTTAGAATGGCTGATCTAGCAAAGATAAGTAATTTAGAAAAAACCTCAGCAGCTGCACTGCATGCATTAACACACAACCACATAAAAGTGTGGTTGGACAGTGTTAAAATTCTAAGGAGTAATGTGGGTTATGTGAGTACCTTGATGTGAATATCAGTGGCAATAATTTGTGCTCGAAACATTGTGATCAGTGAATATTATACTGTATAACACTCTGTGTGATTTTATCGAAATAGAATATTATCCGTAATGTCGAAAAAAATGCAGCTTGCATTTAGATACTAATCACCACTACCTGTTAAGCGAAATCATTTGATTAGATTTTGGTAAATTGCTTTCTTGCTCCCAAAATCTTTCATTAATACATTTTTCTAATTCATATTATTCAAGAGACCGCTGAGAAACGAACACCACTGGAAGAAACTATTGCAAAGTTTCCACCATAAAAGAACTTGGATGATTACACATTTTAATTCATTTACAAATTTACGGGACAGTGCCGTCAGCGATCAGTCTGCATAGGCAAACACAAACTGAAAATTACAGTGAAACTGATGATTCATTTAGCAGTTGTGTCACGTAGCTCAACTAATAGAGCATGGAATTACCGATTCGGAAGGCTGCTGGCCGATACTTGTAATCAGTCACATCGCCTGTTACATCAATCGTCAACCCAATAGTTATCACAGGTAGTGTCTGAAGAAAAGCTGACTGTGGTATAGTAAACCTTGTAAAGAAAGCTTTTACACTGAGCATAAAAAACAAAACAAGTCAGTCTTTTCTTGTAAATGTGTCAGAAACCTGCAGTACATGTCGTGGAAAGCCTTTCTAGAAAAGTACTTCAGAGTCTCATCAACAGCTGCTTTGCTAGCTCCATACTGAAGACCAGACGGCTGGTCACAAACAATTAGTAGCGAAACCTCTGGGAATGAACCAGTCAATGATCTATTGCTCAGCAAGTATTCCATAGGAAATGCAGATGAATTGATCACACGCCAAGGAGATCGTTAAGTGACATGGCTCACCCGGTGATGGTTCGACTTGAAGTTAAATGGGAAACAAAGAGTCGAGCGTATGTCCAAGGATAACGCGGAGAAAAGGAGAGACAATGGTGGGGAAAGCTACAGAGAATTTCAAAGAATTGGAGAAAGTGGGGGATGTTCATTATAATAAAAGTTTCTGTGTTTCCCCAGTGAATGAAAAACAAAACGATATGGTTGTTTTAACTGACGCTTCACTATTTAATGCTGCTGCAAAGAGCTTTATCAAAGTGGTAATATTAAACCAGAATTTACAAAATCTCAGTTTACATATAACAAATTTATCATCATTCATCATCAGAGGGTTACGTTTGCATTAGACGAGCACACTGTCTGATAACGGATGAGAAAGAAAAAGAAGAAGAAATATCAAACATCACTGAAACTCTCAGGCAGAACAACTACCCGAAGAACTTCATAAACAAGATCAACACTGACATTAAGTATGGCCGAAAACGTATTCCGAAAACATGGACCTCAACAGTCGTCATTCCATATAGAGCAGAGACGTCAGACGATATCAGAAGAGTACTCAGTCAGCTCCATATTAGAGTTTTCTTCATAACATCTGGCACACTTCAAAACAACTTTGTCCATATGGAAGACCAAATCCCTAAAGATTCTCTAATTGTGTCTATAAAATAAAATGCTTGCTTGGAATGTGATGCAACATACATCGGACAAACATCGCAAGATTTCAAGGTAATCAGAAGAAATGAACAGCGTAGAGCACCTGTTCGACCACCGAGAAATCCAGTGAGTGAACTAGGAAAGCTTGAAAAATCATAAGCCATAGGTCGTCTACACGCTACGCTATAGAATCAAGCCCCAAAATTGATTTCGACAATATTGAAATCATCATCCAGAAAAATTTCGGAAATCACAAAGAACTTCTCATATCATCAGAAGCACTTCATATCAAATGAAATCGAAATTGGCTGAATGGGAATGATGGACTAAAACAGAATATAACGTTGTTGCAACACACCCTATCCCAAAGGAATAACAAAACCAACACGAATATGATAAGCGATTTCACTATGTAAACCCATGGTGCTTTTATATAATTTTACACACTTATGAAAAGCTACAATCTACACCTGGTTTTGTTATCTTCACCAACTGGCCATCTTCACAAAGTGAAAATGACTCCATGTTGATGAACAACAATTAAATTTGTTATATATAAGCTGAGTGGATTTTGTAAATTCTGGTTTAATAATACTTTGATAAAGCTATTAACATTAAATAGCGAAACGTCAGTAAACGCAACAATATCATTTTGTTTTTTCATTTATTGTGAAATACAAAAGGCCTTTATTATAATGAATATCATAAACCCAGTGCCGAAATTTTTTAAAACTGTTAAATGTAGAAATGTGCTTTTGGAGCCCTATGTACCACTTGGAACTCTAGAGAACAGTACGTCAGCATACATACCGAGAACATGATATTTTTTTTTTATTTACAGCTTGATTCCACACTGTATTTTCGGTACAAGTATGGAATTTTCAGCATGGATATCCGTAGCCCAAATTTTGCAGGCCGACCATAGATATCAGGTGTGCGTCGGTGCGGGCTCGAACCCCGGACCATGTGCATAGTCGGCGAGAGTCCTAACCACTGTGCCACCGACGGACAGTGAAACAACAGAGCTTGATATCTGTGAAAAGAGTAAATCATCACTGGATCCCTCTTCTTTTTTGAAGATTTTCACGCTATGAAATTGAATAGTGATCAAAACATAGAAATGAAAAAGATGTGCGTCGGTGGCACAGTGGTTAGGACTCTCGCTGACCGTGCACATGGTACGAGGTTTGATCCCCTGCCGACGCACACCTGATATCTATGGTCGGCCTGCGAAATTTAGGCTACCGATATCCATGCAGAAAATTCCATACTTTTACCAAAAATATAGTGTGGAATCAAGCTGTAATCAAAAACAAACAAAAAAATAAAAAAATAAATTAATAAATGTTAATATAAATAGAGAAACAACATTTGTCTACTTACTTATTTCACAGTAGTCGCCAGTGAAATCCTGTGTACAACTACAGTTGAATGGTTTCGAGTGGGATGAATTCAAATTCTTACATATACCATTATTTAAACATGGTTGATGTCGTCCACAGTAGTCAAGATCTTTGAAATAAATTTCAAAAAATACAATCATATTAATAGTAATAATGGTGTCGTGAGAAGCTGTCTGCAAGCCAAAATTTTAGACACCGATTTACGTCAGTGTTTACGTCACCAATCAGGATCAGCAGAAAAAGGCAATAACCAAGCTTAACCTTCAGGAACTCAACAACCAATCACAGCAGACTTAACGTGTGCAAATACGATTCGCAGATATATGGCTTAACTTTCTGAGAAGCGGTAACAAGCAGTATGGGGTAACTTTGAGCCAGAAAACATCCAATAGGATGAAGCTGTTTCTCTGCTAACAATAACGCTAATAATAATAGTGTACATAAAAATCTATAAGTATCTATTTGATTTTCTCAATAAACGATCTGTTGCCTGGCCCTTGTCTTCTGTCGTTACAATAGTAGTGTATGTGTAGAACTTGAGCATTGTGGCAATATATAATTCCATATAAATTTTTGTTAATCAGATATATTACATACACAGTGAAACAGTATTATTATTCACTGGATGGCGTTTGGAACATATTGCTTGTTTTTCATAATATGGTTATCACCTGTAAATATACGACTTCGAAACTTCAGCCTTATAGTACCCTTCCTTTCTCCTGTAGATTAACGGAACACAAACCCCAGCAAGATGCAGACTGTTTCGATTCAATCAATAAGCGAGGAAGTTCAAATTGAATTAAGTAACAATAACTGATATCCGTTTCATAAGAAATGGTGGCTCTTTTAGACAAAATGGTCTAGTGAGTACTGGGTTCAGACCTCAGTGGGAACACTATCACTTCCGGGGGAATGCAGGCATATCCAGATGACGAGTCACAAATAGGACGGAATTCGCATCTTGGATTCCAATGCTTGTCATCATTCATCAACATAATAATAACATACTAATCTCCAGGCAAGGTCGAAGCATGTGTACTAGGAGCCAATGCCCCAATAGAGACTGGACATTGATGTCCAAAGTTTGAAATTCCGCTGGGAACGCAAAATGAATACATTTCCTACAGACTTCATACAGTTTGAACTGTATTTCGAAACGAGTGTAAGAAATTAAATGGTAAAAACCAAATTAAAAGAGAATGAGTACTAACCTTGATCACAGAATGGTCCACCCCAGTTAGGTAAACAGCGGCAAGTGAATGGAGCATCATTACATGTTCCATGTTTACATCCAGGATATTTAATACATTCATCGCAAAGTGGTCCTTGCCAACCAGTTGCACATCTATAGTTAAGTTTGACGTAAAGGAGAGAAAAAGCAATGGAAAGTAATGAGTTTCCACGAGAAAAAGAATTTAAAATTTGTACTTTGAAAAGGCCTCCGACAGCGTTGGTGGAGAAGTAAGTAATTTGGAAGCCACTTCAACACTACGGCGTGCCTCAAAGTATTTATCAACCTGATTCAATAGTTATATGAGAATGGCACGTGTCAAGTAATCTGCAGTGGAAAACTCACTAAGGCGTTCGAAGTAAATACAGGAGTAAGACAAGCTGGCTGCAGATTATCACCGATGATATTCTTGGCTGTGGTGGACTGGATTAGAAAGAAGACTGAGGGGGGGGCGAGAAAACAGGAATACGTTTGACAACCAATAAGAATAATAATAATTCATTTTACTTTATTCCAAAAACAGTACTTATAATACAGAATGGAATTCTCAGTATTTGTCACAATATTGCAGCTGAATTACTTAAAATATAAATAAAATTATAAATTAAAACCAAAGTAACCAGAGGAATTTGTTCACGCTTACGATATAAAGTCAAAAATATTCGAAGCACGAATTGAGATCGTCCAATATAATAATAATAATAATAATATTAATAATAATAATAATAACAGTGAGTTTGTTTCAAACAGTATTGTCGATTCAGTTTGGAAATTTTAGCATGTTATTATAGAGTATTGAATCTAATGTTCTGTTGATATAGTATAGTGAAGGAAAATACAAGATTAACAGTGGTAACACAGCTTAAACGATGTTCACACTTATGAAAAATAAATTAATAAATAAAAACAAAAAAATTGAGAGGATTATAAATATAAGAGATACAATAATAACAACAACAATAAAGTTTGGTACTGTAAGGGTGGAGGAAATGGTTTATTTAGTAGTGCGAAGAAGGTTAGCTAGTTCATGCCTAACACTGTTTTCATTACATAAAGTACGGGCTAAATATGGTATAGTGGAATTTTTATACTTCGACGTACGTGCGTAAAAAAAAGACTTCTTGTTTTACCTGAAGAGACACAAGGTAGGAGACACCATCTAATAGATTAAGATTTCGTGGTTGATTTATGTGCTATATCACAGAAGCTCGAAGACTTGCAGGCGAAAACCAACAAACTCGTGGATGAAGCAGTACAGCGAAGATAGGACTCCAGGTGAACATGGGGAAGACGGAAGTGATGAACATAATCAGGTAGCAGCAGTTACAAAAAGCAGCACCAATCCCCATCAACGTGAAAAATTTGGAAGCGCTTACTTCCTTCACATATCAAGGAAGTATAGATTCAACTACAGGCGGAACCAATTAAGATGTCAAAAGCAGAATCAGAAATCAGTCTAAAAATTTTTCACACTCGGTATTAAGAACAAGATTCGAATGTTCAACAACGATATCAAATGAGTCACTTCTTCTACATGGATCAGAGACTGGGCATCCACTTCACGAGAAGCATTTCCAACAGGCTGCTGCAGACTTTAATCTAGAGCTGTCTTTGTTCTACATTGAAGATCAAATGGCCGGTCAGAAAGAATTAGCAACAAGTAACCATGGGAACAAACTAAGCAAGAACTTATTTCACAACAAATATGGGAAATAACAAATGGGGAGATCGTCGAGGGTGACATGGAGTGAATCGTATGAGGAGGAAATGAGAGGCCTCATAAAGTAGGGTAAAGTGGAGACCTGCTGTTGAAGACCAATTTTCCACTCTGATCCGAATGGGTTCAATAATAATAATAATAATAACAATAGGAGACAGCAGTACGTTGAGTGTGGCAGCTGGCAGTGGAATGCAGGAGGCACATTTCTATAGCTCACCAATTTTCCTACTGAGTATACAAATAATAACTGTAGTTCAGAGTGTTTAGCGTATACTTATTATCTTCGAAATATAATACAGTGAAGTTCCTCAATAATATTCTAGAGGTCTGTTCTCAAATTCAAATTTTGAAATGGCGAAGTTAAACTTTCGACACCACTAACTACCAATCAGCGAATTATCCAATGAGATTCACGAACGATGTCGAATTATCCAATGAGGTTCACGAACGCAGTTCAATGGTGTATTGCGCTTGATTCATTTCTAATGCGTGACCTTACTAGGCTACTGTTGCAATTCGAGGAGTTTAGTGTTTTCCAGTATTTCCTGGATTTCATTTGCTCCGGAAAGAGCGAATTTGTTTGTGTGGTAGTGTGGTGAGAGCAGGCCGTGAGAAAATATGAGCAAGGCTGATTCAACAACCAATCACAGCAAAGTTAATGTGGCAAAATATGATTTGCAGATAGAGAACTCTATTTGTCGAGGAATCCCGAAACAACCAATCAGAAGCCTGCGTTTGTCTGCCTAACTTCTGATAAACAACCAATCAGATAACTGCGCTTGTCTACTTGCATAAGCTATAATAATGTATGTGAAATATGTATAAATACGTGTTGATTTTCATAATAAAACGATCTGTTGCCTGGCCCTTGGCTTCTGTTGTTACAGTAGTATCGTTACTTTAAAAAGCTATACCAAATCAACTGATGGGTTTGTTCATCGTTGTGCTATATGTTTGAAGCCTACTAACACTGGAGAGGGTAAGCTGATAATTTTAATATTTCGTAGGAACTTACTTTCACTAGGTCGCATCTCTCCCTAACCCAGATTTTGTATATCTGCAACTAATGGGTGTTGAAACAGGCTGTGAGAGCAGCAGCTGCCGAGATGGAGAATAGCCATGTCTCAACAGTTCAGTGGTACCAGCATTGCAGAGACATCGCATCATGGAAAATGGAGAAAATCACTTGTTTGCTGGGTGGGGAAGACGCTATTGTGCATGTCGATGAGACAGTGCTGGTAAAAAAGAAATACAACCGTGGTTGCCAGCGAGCGAATAATATTTTGGTAATAGGTTTGTATGACACCTCCCTCCGGAAGGGATTCGTCGAAAGGAAAGCAGATGGAGAAGCATTGACAGTCCCATGCTAAACTGGGAGATGTTTCTCTCACATGTTCGAGAAAGATATCTCATGTAACTTTTTTATTCTCTATTTTGTGCTTTTTCCTATAAATATATATTTCCATTCATCATATATGCCTCTTTAATGTAATTGGTTCGTTCAAGGTCGTTTGCTGACTGGTTGTTAATGGTGTCTAAAGTTTAACTTTGCCTTTGAAATTTGTAAATTAGTTCACAGTGCACGATTTACGCAGTCAGAGGTGACTGTTTCACCACAATTACCTTTGAAAGCTGAGACTGCTCAGATCACAATACTTGATTTACATGATACCATAAGTTGTGAACTGACTGTAAACTGAGAATATGATTTATGGTTTTATCAGTTTGCTTTCAGATGGCTTTCCAGGGATTCGGGTGTGATGTTAACTTATTCGACCTGTGAGCTGAGTCCGACCTGGTTCACTGACGATGAGCTCAGTCCCAAAAGGTTTTTCAGTATTTCGATCACTTCGATATGTCTAACTAGCATGCACTACTGGTTGATGTGAACGGTATCCAACTACTCATTTTACACAATCAGTAGTGTATATAGGTTTATTTTTCAGTTAGATTAAGGGTAATTGCTCACCTTTTTCAAATGCATTCAAGCAATCCGAATACTTTTGGCAGATAGCTTTCGAGTTTACAAGATGAAAGAGTGTGAACACTAATGCATTCCATTGAATCGTACTAGATATGATGATTGATCATTATGGAGTAACCGGTGCCATGTGTTTCATTATACTGTTATTATTTCCTCTAGTTCCTAGAGGAACATAGGGCTTCAGCCGCGCGTCTCCACTGCGTTCGGTTCTCTGCGAAAATTTTCATCTGGCTCCAGGTCTGCCCACATGCTTTCATCTCCTCTTCACATCATGTCATCCAAGTCACCCTTGGACAACCGACTCGCCGCTTCCCTTTCCATCGGATTCCATTCGAGCGATGGTTTGTCTAGTGATGTCACTTGATGGTTTCCACAGAGTATGACCAATCCATCTCCATTTCTTCCTGCCTATTTGTTTCACAATGGGTTCCTGCTGAGTTGGTTCGCTCATTGCCAGAGATCCCTGTTGCTGATCTTTTCTGGCCGGCCATCTGATCCTGAGTATTGGGCGAAGACAACTGTTAATGAAGGTCTGTAGTTTGTTTGAGATGCTATTTATGATACGCAAAGTCTCTGATCCATCTAGTAAGTGGCACTGACTTCATATTGGAGTTGAAAATCCGGATATTATTTTTGATGCTGAGTGCTGTTGACCTTCTGCACACAAACTTGAGAGTAATGAAAGCTTGTCTTGCTTTTCCGATTCTGGCTTTGATATCCTCGTCAGTTCTGTCCGCCTGTAGTTGAAACGATGCTCCCCAGGTAGGTGGGTAGGTGAAGGAGATTGTTTCTTTCAGGTTCCTCCCATTTATGCTGATTGTTGTCTGGTGCTGTTGTCCATTAAGACGAGTGACCTCAGACTACTCTTATCAAGTCAGTAGTAAATACTGTAAGACCGGTTAATTTTCAAGTGTCATTTTGTAGAGATTTGGTCGATTTCAAGTTTCATCAGCTAGAGAACCACCATGGTGAAAACCACTACAAAGTATTGAAAAGCTGTTTCATCCTAGTTTGGAAATCTTCCGCAGTATTCACCTATGACCCTACCATCGGGGATCAAACCCAAGATCTTCAAGGCAAAAGGCGAATTTCGCTAGCCATTTAGCCACAGGCGATAAATTCACTGGCCTATTAATCAACGAATATAATATAGAATCCAAAGCCTTTGTAGTATTGCCGTATAAAGAAGGAACGTCAGAGGTCTTAAGTAGGATTCTCAAAGAGACTGGAATTATTTGGGGTGGCATTTAAGCCAACCAACCAACTCTCCCAGAGATAAACTTTGTTGGTTCAACGACTTGATAGATTTAATTCATAAAAGTAATATAATTTGCCAAATACCATGTAATGACGATCATTGAGGTCAATTACATAGGTCAGACTAGTAGATCAGGGTGAACTAGATTATTC